AACCCCCATTGTATAGAAGCCGATACTTACTAAACAGTGGCACTTGGGCGCAATGTGACTGGCTTGTGACACTTACATTCCCTCAGTTATATGTTGGAGAGTACAATGAGGCCTCAAGGGCATGCCCTCCTACTTTGGACGGACGGACACACACACACACACACACACACACACACACACACACACACACACACACACACACACACACACACACACACACACACACACACACACACACACACACACATATAAAGAGAATAACGTCAGCGGCATATGCGAGGCTGGCTAACATCAGAACAGCCTTCAGGAACCTGTGTAAGGAATCATTCAGAATCTTGTACACCACATATATAAGACCAATCCTGGAGTATGCGGCCCCAGCATGGAGCCCGTACCTTGTCAAGCACAAGACGAAGCTGGAAAAAGTCCAAAGGTATGCCACTAGACTAGTCCCAGAACTAAGAGGCATGAGTTATGAGGAAAGGCTGCGGGAAATGCACCTTACGACACTGGAAGACAGAAGAGTAAGGGGGGACATGATCACAACCTACAAAATTCTCAGGGGAATCGACCGGGTAAACAAGGATGAACTATTCAACACTGGTGGGACGCGAACAAGGGGACACAGGTGGAAGCTGAGTACCCAAATGAGCCACAGAGACGTTAGAAAGAACTTTTTCAGTGTCAGAGTAGTTAGTAAATGGAATGCACTAGGAAGTGATGTGGTGGAGGCTGACTCCATACACAGCTTCAAATGTAGATATGATAGAGCCCAATAGGCTCAGGAATCTGTACACCAGTTGATTGACGGTTGAGAGGCGGGACCAAAGAGCCAGAGCTCAACCCCCGCAAGCACAATTAGGTGAGTACACACACACACAAGGGCAAGATGTATGAGGAGAGGTTAGAGGCATTAAATATGCCAAAACTAGAACACAGAAGAAAAAGAGGTGATATGATCACTACATACAAAATTGTAACAGGAATTGATAAAATCGATAGGGAAGATTTCCTGAGACCTGGAACTTTAAGAACAAGAGGTCATAGATTTAAACTAGCTAAACACAGATGCTGAAGAAATATAAGAAAATTCACTTTTGCAAACAGAGTGGTAGACAGTTGGAACAAGTTAGGTGAGAAGGTGGTGGAGGCCAAGACCGTCAGTAGTTTCAAAGCGTTATATGACAAAGAGTGCTGGGAAGACGGGACACCACGAGCATAGCTCTCATCCTGTAACTACACTTAGGTAATTACACACACACACACACACACACACACACACACACACACACACACACACACACACACACACACACACACACACACACACACACACACACGTTCTGGACAGGGAAATCATGCCTAACAAACCTTTTAGAATTCTATGATAAAGTAACAAGGATAAGGCAGGACAGAGAAGGCTGGGCAGACTGCATATTTCTTGACTGCCAAAAGGCCTTTGATACGGTACCGCACATGAGACTGCTATACAAACTTGAGAGGCAGGCAGGAGTAAGCGGAAAGGCCCTAGTATGGGTGAAGAACTACCTAACAGGAAGGAGCCAGAGGGTAATGGTAAGGGGCGAAAAGTCGGACTGGCGAACAGTAACAAGTGGAGTACCTCAAGGATCGGTGCTGGGACCAATCCTCTTTCTAATTTACGTAAATGATATGTTTACAGGAGTGGAATCATACATGTCAATGTTTGCAGATGACGCAAAATTAATGAGAAGAGTTGTGACAGACGAGGATTGTAGGATCCTCCAAGAGGACTTAAACAGGCTGCAGAGATGGTCAGGGAAATGGCTACTGGAGTTTAACACCAGTAAATGTAAAGTTATGGAAATGGGATCAGGTGACAGGAGACCAAAGGGACAGTACACAATGAAGGGGAACAGCCTACCTGTAACGATTCGAGAAAGAGACCTGGGAGTGGATGTGACACCTAATCTAACTCCTGAGGCACATATAAATAGGATAACGACAGCAGCGTACTCTACACTGGCGAAAATTAGAACTTCATTCAGAAACCTAAATGAGGAAGCTTTTAGGGCACTTTACACTGCCTACGTGAGACCTGTCTTAGAGTATGCCGCGCCATCATGGAGCCCCCACCTGAAGAAACACATAAAGAAACTGGAGAAGGTTCAGAGGTTTGCGACGAGGCTTGTCCCAGAGTTACGAGGGATGGGATATGAAGAGCGGCTGAAGGAACTGAACCTAACGACACTAGAGAAAAGAAGGGAGAGAGGAGATATGATAGGGACATATAAAATACTCAGGGGAATTGACAAAGTGGAAATAGATGAAATGTTCGCACGTAATAATAACAGAACGAGGGGACATGGGTGGAAACTGGAAACTCGGATGAGTCACAGAGATGTTAGGAAGTTTTCTTTTAGCGTGAGAGTAGTAGAAAAATGGAATGCACTTGGGGAACAGGTTGTGGAAGCAAATACTATTCATACTTTTAAAACTAGGTATGATAGGGAAATGGGACAGGAGTCATTGCTGTAAACAACCGATAGCTAGAAAGGCGGGATCCAAGAGTCAATGCTCGATCCTGCAAGCACATATAGGTGAGTACATATAGGTGAGTACACACACACACTGTGTGGTGTGTGTGTGTGTGTTTAGTGTGCTACTAAACCTTAGTTTAGAAACCTTAGTTTGCTACTAAGAGAAGGTTGGAGTTTCGAAGAGGTGGTAATTCAGAACTGTGAAGGTTTCAGTGACTACATATCAGGCGCCATAGCAACTTGAGGACAGAAAATTATAGTAGTAGTCATATATAACCCCCCCACCGAATGACAGAAGACCCAGACAGGAATATGATAGAAACAACTTGGCCACCATCAATATAATAGAGAGAGCAGCTTCTGTGGCTAGCAGGAACGGATCCAGACTACTAATCATGGGAGACTTCAACCATGGGAAGATAGATTGGGGGAACAGAGACCCACAAGGAGGCCCAGACACATGGAGAGCTAAGCTGCTGGATGTGGCAACAAGAAACTTTCTAAGTCAACACGTCAAGGGACCGACAAGAATGAGAGGAGGGGATGAACCAGCCTTGCTTGATCTGATATTTACCCTAAATGAGTATGATATAAGGGAAGTTAAGTTGGAAGCCCCCTTGGGAATGAGTGATCATAGTGTATTGAGCTTTGAGTACCTGGTTGAGCTAAGAATTATCACCCCCCAAAAAAGAACTAGGAAACAAAGGGCTGGCGTACCGAAAGGGAAACTATGAGGAGATGAATAAATTCCTATGGGATATACATTGGGACACACAACTCTGAACCAAGTTCGTACAAGACATGATGGACTATGTCACCCAAAAATGTCAGGAGGCTGTAAGCAGGTTTGTCCCAGCCCGACAGGAAAAAACAGAGAAGCAAAGGAAGAATCCGTGGTTTAATAGGGAATGTATGAAAGCAAAGGAGCTTGACAAAAGGGCATGGAGGAACTTCCGTAATAACAGAACACCAGAAAGTAGAGAGAGATACCAGAGAACCAGGAACGAGTATATCAGTGTGAGAAGAGCAGCTGAGAAAAGGTATGAAAATGATATAGCTAATAAAGCCAAGACCGAACCAAAACTACTACACAGTCACATCAGGAGGAAGACAACAGTAAAGGAACAGGGAATGAAACTTTGGGGTGGGCGAGGACAGGTACAGAGAGAATGACAAAGAGGTGTGTGAAGAACTCAACAAAAGGTTCCAGGAAGTCTTCACAACAGAACAAGGTGAGGTCACTGTGCTAGGAGAAAGGGAAGTAAACCAGGTGGCCTTGGAAGAGTTCGAAATTACGAGAGAGGAGGTCAAGAGATAGGAAGCAGAGAGTTACGGTGAGGGGTGAGACCTCCGATTGGCGTGAAGTCATCAGTGGAGTCCCACAGGGCTCTGTACTCGGTCCTATCTTGTTTCTGATATATGTAAATGATCTCCCGGAGGGTATAGATTCATTTCTCTCAATGTTTGCGGACGATGCCAAAATTATGAGAAGGATTAAGACAGAAGAGGACTGTTTGAGGCTTCAAGAAGACCTAGACAAACTGAAGGAATGGTCGAACAAATGGTTGTTAGAGTTTAACCCAACCAAATATAATGTAATGAAGATAGGTGTAAGGAGCAGGAGGCCAGATACAAGGTATTATCTGGGAGAGGAAATTCTTCAGGAGTCAGAGAAAGAAAAAGACTTGGGAGTTGATATCATGCCAGACCTGTCTCCTGCAGCCCATATCAAGAGGATAACATCAGCTGCATATGCCAGGCTGGCCAACATGCGAACGGCATTCAGAAACTTGTGTAAAGAATCATTCAGAACTTTGTATACCACATATGTCAGGCCAATCCTGGAGTATGCAGCCCAGCATGGAGTCCATATCTAGTCAAGGATAAGACTAAACTGGAAAAGGTTCAAAGGTTTGCCACCAGACTAGTACCCGAGCTGAGAGGTATAAACTACGAGGAGAGACTACGGGAATTAAGCCTCACTTCGCTGGAAGACAGAAGAGTTAGTGGGGACATGATCACCACATTCAAGATTCTGAAGGGAATTGATAGGGTAGATAAAGACAGGCTATTTAACACAAGGGGCACACGCACAAGGGGACACAGGTGGTTACTGAGCGCCCAAATGAGCCACAGAGATATTAGAAAGAACTTTTTTAGTGTCAGAGTGGTTGACAAATGGAATGCATTAGGAAGTGATGTGGTGGAGGCTGACTCCATACACAGTTTCAAGTGTAGATATGATAGAGCCCAATAGGCTCAGGAATCTGTACACCTGTTGATTGACGGTTGAGAGGCGGGACCAAAGAGCCAGAGCTCATCCCCCGCAAACACAACTAGGTGAGTACAACTAGGTGAGTACACACACACACACCAACTCATCCTGTAACTACACTTAGGTAATTACACACACACACATACATTTGATAGGTTTAGACCGATAATGTATGATAAGTAATGTAAGGTTGCACACTGCCGCAGGCCAAGAGAGTGGTGGTGTATGTGGGGCGTGCCCGCCCTGACCGCCTGGTGGAGGAGCTGATGGCGGAGATGGCCACTGTGGAGACCCTCAACTGTGTCATAGAGCGCACCGAAACTCCTCCCTTCTTCAGGTAAGCTCACCTCACCACTGTTAATGTATATATTTGCATGGTCTTCATTTCACAGAAATTGTCATTATTTAATACTAAGGTAATTTGACTAGGCAGAGCTTCATGGTTAGGACATGCAGCACAAGAAGGTGACGATATGCTAAATCTTCAAACACTGTATAAAGTATTAATGTATAAATGGTAACAAAATATGTAACTTGTTCATCAATGCTGTCATATGCTCAAGTAAGTAAGTAATTATCAAAAGAAGGCACCAAACCGGGAAGGCTATGTAGCACCATCAAATACGCAAAATAATCAGAGGGCGCTAAATATCACCAAGGATGCCAATACGAGAACAAAAACGCATAAGGCGAACGATATCAAAAGTATCCGAGTCACCAAGAATTCTATCGAGGGATAGGTGACCGCGAGGGGCGGTCGGAAAGCAAGACACACGCTCGTCCTGGAAGTCAGGACATTCAAGAAGGACATGCACGACCGTAAGAGGGACAATGCAACTAGGACAATAAGGAGCAGGGCGGCGCTCCATCAAGTGACCATGGGTTAAGCGAGTATATGCTCAAGTTGCTAAGCGATTATTGGAGTTCAATTTCCGAAGCCTCTGTAACACTGCCACTGCTCACAGGATAGAAACTCTATTGAGCTGACCCAAAACTCATGGAGTAGATGAGGCTACAAGAACAACAGCGACAGAGCCCACACCATGAACTACAACACTCTAACGACCTTGATAGTTTAAGTAGTCCACTATAGCAGTCTGGATAGGTGGACTTGTCATACATGCCAAATTTTATATTAGTTGTATGCATTATGTTTCTGCTTTAATTAGAGTATATTTGTAGTTAGAACGTCGTGAAGATGGCGTGGAAGTGTTGTATTGGGAGTTTTTTGAGGCAGAGGAACAATAAAGGGAAGGAGGGTAAACAGTGGGAAGGAAAGGGAGGAGGAAAGTAAAAAGAGAATGAGAGAGACAGAGCATAAAAATTGGGAAAGAGGAGGGGGAAGGGAATTATCAGGGGTAAAGCTCCAAGCTATTATGACTATATAGCACTGGGAAAGAGTCAGTATAAGGATTTGGGATTTGGGAAGGAATGGTGCCCATGCAAGCACTTGGACGGTGGGGGATTGAGCCCTGACCTGCATGAAGTGAAACCGTCACTCTACCGTCCAGAGAAATGAAGATAAAGAGAAGAAAGGAATGGAATGGAGGGAAAATGAGAATGTAGGAAGCAGGAATAAAATAAGGAGAGGGTAAGGAAGATCAAGGTATATTGGGAGGTAGAGGATAAAGAGGAAATAAGAGATGCGAGTATAAACAGAGAGGAGCAGGTGGAATACAAAGAGAGGGGGAGGAAGGATTCTCATGCATCAGTGTATAGAGATGGATGGCACCAGGGTAAAAGGAGTTTTATTAGGGGCCTCCCTTCAAGCGCTCTGCCATGCAATAAGGCCACTTCCTGTATTGCACCGTCATGGATAACAAATACTTTGTGAAAGAGTAAATAACATTGTGTCTGGATGAGGTTCCAGGAGTTCTTCTGCATCCCAGGCCCGGCCCAAGGCCAAGCTTGACTTCTGAGAGCTTTGTCCAACAGGCTGTTGCTTGGAGGAGCCCACAGGCCCAAATATCCACCACAGCCCACTTGGTCCGGTACTTCTTGAAGAAAACTGTGATAGTTAATAACAGATCTGTGCTGGCCCACAGTAGAAAGAAAAAGTCTGGATGCTAAAGCATTCAAAGCTCTGCCGTGCAAGAATGCCACTTCCTGTATTGCACCGCCATGGATAACAAATACTTTGCGAAAGAGCAAATAACATTGTGTCTGGATGAGGTTCCAGGAGTTCTTCTGCATCCCAGGCCTGGCCCGAGGCCCGGCTTGACTTCTGAAAGCTGTGTCCAACAGGCTGTTGCGTGAAGTGGCCCACATATCCACCACAGCCCGCTTGGACCGGCACTTCTTGAAGAAAACTGTGATAGTTAATAACAGATCTGTGCTGGCCCGCAGTAGAAAGAAAAAGTCTGGACATTGAAGCATTCTTTGGACCTAAATCTATACAGTATAATTCAAACGAGTAATAGCGGCGAAATTCAAATTCAGCCATGAACAACTTGGCCAAGGTGTCACCTGGTAATACTGAAGGATTGTGCCCCCCCCCCCACACACACACACTCTAGTGATGTTAATGTAAACTTAATATTTAGGTTTTTCTTGGTACCTGACCAAAGTCTCAAGGAGCAGAGAATATTGCACTTGAGGCACAATTGAATTAGTGCTAATTTAAACAGTTTGGAAATAAATCGAGAGTCAACTGTGTACAGTATATATGTATGGGAGAGTATATATGTATACAGTACTTAGACACTAAATTGTTTTGTCCCCTGCCTGCCTGAATGGCTGGTTCACCCGATGGTGGTCTGGAGTATTGGCCAGGTAAGCCAACTAGCAAATACTTGGTCTGGAGTATTGGCCAGGTAGGCCAACTAGCAAATACTTGGTCTGGAGTATTGGCCAGGTAGGCCAACTAGCAAATACTTGGTCTGGAGTATTGGCCAGGTAGGCCAACTAGCAAATACTTGGTCTGGAGTATTGGCCAGGTAGGCCAACTAGCAAATACTTGGTCTGAAGTATTGGCCAGGTAGGCCAACTAGCTATTACTTGGTCTGGAGTATTGGCCAGGTAGGCCAACTAGCAAATACTTGGTTGTCCCTGAGGATGCCAAATTCTATGAATATATTAACATTTTTTTAGAAGTCCTTTTAGGCTGGAGACACCGGGCATTTTATTGCCTGGTGTCTCCCTGGCACTAATATTACCCAAAAAGGCAACTTGATAAACTCCCTGATGCTCGGGCGTCGAATATTGACGTACTGTGACTGTGCATGATCAGTCTGGCTTGCTGAAAGTGGTGCGGTTATCCAGGCTTCCACTGTACTGTTTAGTCTGCTTTATAATGATCCAGTGAATTTATGTTGTTTGGTACAGTATAACGCCCAAAATCAGACCATAACTTTTTGTTTTATAACAAATACCAGTCACTCAAATAACAGTTCAGTTTTCTCCATAACTGCATGTCCAGAGTTCAGATTTAGACTGTTTCATTTACATTTGTGATGAAATCCTGGTTATCTTCACATACAATATATATAGTCATTTTTACTAGATGGTATTTTTCCTATTGCCTTGCATTTATTAGTAAATAGTATTGAATATATTTCTTTCTTGTTAATATAAAACAAAATATATTTAATACTATTAATTACTAAATGCTTGTAGAGCTCTTAACACCATGATGATAAAACTCAGTACTAACACAAATTTGATTACTGTACATCATTGGTATTTGACTGCAGGCATCATTGATGACTGTCTTTACGCTCACACTGTTGGATTTTGCTGATTATATATGGCATCTTGCCACTATAGTTTTATCAAATACTTTATCAGCAAAGTAATGGGTCTGCCAGGGCTTCAAATAGCAGCAAATTCAAGAGAAAACATGTTGTGAATAATATTGAGCAGATTATAATAGAGAGTTTATAAAGAAAGTTCAGTCTGGCATCCCTATGAGTATTTTGTATGCTAATTTCAAAGTTGGCAATACATGTACTCTAATTTTTTTTTTGTTTTTTACCTTACAATGGCATCTTTTCCGTGTAGTTTTCAGTTTCTACTTGTTGAGGGCCAGAGACTTGACCAAAATGTTATCACCTTCCTTTTAGGTCATGTGTTTAGGGGGTGGGTTATTTGGTTTCAGCCTGTGAGTTTACCTGAGAGCCACTAACACTAGTGGCTTCAACGAGGACTGGAAGCCGGCGGCTTTTTGTAGGTCCATCCCTCCCCCCATTTGCCTTAATGATCTTTTCCAGCCAGCCTCATTATTGTGGCTTAATCTCTGTATATCCAGATTATTCACAAATCCAGATCAGGTCTGGAACAATGTAATCTGGGTTTTGGAAGATATACTGTACAGTACAGTATAGGTACCTGTACTGTACGGCACCCTTACTGTGTAAGGGTGCCGGTCGGCCGAACAGACAGCACGCTCGACTTGTGATCCTGTGGTCCCGGGTTTGATCCCAGGCGCCGGCGAAAAACAATGGGCAGAGTTTCTTTCACCCTATGCCCCTGTTACCTAGCAGTAAAATAGGTACCTGGGTGTTAGTCAGCTATCACGGGCTGCTTCCTGGGGGTGGAGGCCTGGTCGAGGACCGGGTCGCGGGGACACTAAAAAAAGCACCGAAATCATCTCAAGATAACATCAAGATAACCTCAAGATATACCTTAATTATTAAGTTCCTTTAGTGTTATGCAAACATATTTTCTAGTATCTTTTGTCTGTTGAAAATGGGTGAAAGTAGTTTAATATAATTTAGCAAGTAAGATTTAACTATTACTGTAATATTTAATGTAAAATACAGTAAATACAAGTAAGCAAGAGAAAAGCTTAAAATAATGTAAATTTTGCTGCATTTCCCAATTGTTTAAAATGTGGCGTGCCATATCATATATTGTTCCATGTATGTTGCATTGTTTCTATGTTATAGCAACTGTTTTATCCCAAAATCATATACCGTAGTTTAACCAGCTTCTTTATTTTGTATAGACTCACTTCCATGCGTAAAACGTCCTCCCATGGCGAGGGTGGCGGTGTGGGGGGTAGCGGGGCGCCACAGGAGCAGACGCCCTCCGAGCGGGGCACCTTACACACAAAGCGACATTCCGGAGATCATCATGACCTTCCCAGAGAGAGATATTCCCCACTGTGAGTAAAAGTATTTATAAGTGTTACTATAGTAAATATTTTGTAATTACAGTCTAGATTAAATTAATGTTATAACCAAGAGCACATTATTGTAAGTTAGAATTACATTGGTTAAACTTGATCTTACCTGAATTTATCTGAGGAGGCCACTAACACACTAGTGGCCTTGATGAGGACAGAAAGCCGGCAGCTTGTCCTAAGGGGCCCTGATGGCTGAGTGGACAGCACTCAAGATTCATAGTCCTAAGGTTGTGTGTTCGATTCCTGGTGGAGGTAGAAAAAAAATGGGTGGTTTCTTTCACCCTGATGCACCTGTTCACCTAGAAGTAAATAGGTACCTGAGAGTTAGATAGCTGCTACGGGCTGCTTCCTGGGCATGTGTAACAAAAAGAAGGCCTGGTCGAGGACTGGGCCGCAGGGACGCTAAGCCCCGAAATCATCTCAAGATAACCATCTCAAGATAGGTCCCTCATTTGTCCCGATTATTTGTTCTAGCAGGATTTTAAAATTCAACAGCTTTGGCATTCATGGCTTTGGCGGGTAGGCAGTTCTATGGGTTTATAACCCTGTGGGTGAAAAAATATCTCCGTTCTTCGTCCTACATTGTGGCGTGTTGAGCTTGAAACCGTTGCTCCTTGTTTGTGTTACATCTGACCTTTTGAAGAAGTTGCCCAGATGCTCTGCCTCTTCCAGAGGGTTGGCCAGCTGTTCCTCGCTGGAATGACCTTCTCTGCTGTTCGTGGCTGGTCCTTCTAATGTGGGGTTATCACTCCCTCTGTGTTGATCCTGTGCTTACAAGGTGTCACACTGGTGGAGTTCGTTGAGGCATCACTAGGTGGTTCTTGATGGCTGTTCTGCCACTTTCTGTAGTTGTTCTTTTTGATCGACATCTCCAACCAATACTGTTGCCTCGGATCATGCAACACTGGTGGAGCCACTACTGTTTGTGTACGGGGTCAACACTTTCTTGGCTCCATTTTGCAAGTTGTTTCATGCTTTGTTTCACCTCAGACCTATTCTTGTGTTGCCAGAGTCAGTCTAGTCTCTGGACAGTGTGCTCCATTTTCTCTCTTCTGCTTGGTTTCTTGACTCCCCTTTGGTCTAGGTTTCTTTTCTTTAGGCTCTTTTTCTAGGCCACCTTGGCTTCCAGCCGCTGTGTGGAGGTGCTTTATGCTTTTGCTTAGTGCAGGTGGTTTAGGTTCGAACCCTCATCAAGGTTCCTGCGGATTTGTTCATAGATATATCGCATTAATGTGATTTCTCTCTGTTTTGAAGGAGGTAGTTCTACCTGTCAAAGGTAGAACTACTGGTTGATAGAGCCCGAGTGCATGGGAGAATTGAACGAAACCCCGGTTAGACTTCAGTGGAAACCTCAGGACCCTTGTGGATGCAGTAGTACCCCAGGTTGCAATTCTTTTACGATGTCATGGTGGAATTGACTTGTGTACGCCTGAGAACACGCAGCGCATAGATTCAAACCCTCATCAAGGCTCCTGTGAATTTGTTTATGGGGGAACTGTTAGAAGGTCACAGGGCATTGAAAGAGATGCAGGAAGAACAAAAGGTTTTAATGAAACCATTCACGGGCCTTAAAAAATCACTGGATGATACGTGCACGGGTGGGCTCCCCAGAGCCGACCAGGAAAACCCGGGGGAAACTTAGTGAATGCAGGTGGAGTTCCAGAGACTGATGTGGGTGCCCAGGAGAGGGATACAGAAACAAGAGATAGACAAAGATGAAAAAAACAACCTCATTATTAGAAACCTTGCAAGAAAAGAAGACAAGAATGACCAGGAACTCATTGAGGAAATGATTGTGAAACTGTTAGGCAGGGTGGAGGAATTAAATTCATCAAAGGTTGAGAGAATAGGTAGGCCAGAAGCAAATATGGTACAAATAACCATTGCAAATTTTGAACACAAAAGGTTGATAATAAGCAGGGCCCGCGGACTCAAGGATCTAGAAGGGTATAACCAAGTATACATTTCCCCAAATCTCACAGTTGAACAGTTCACAACAATAAAAAAGACAGGGTGCTAAGAGGCAAGTTAAAGGAATTAAGAAACACAGACTGATATAAAAATTGGTCTGTGTTTCTGGAGATCAGAAGAGGGCAGGTGATCTGGAAAGTAGGAGGAGGAGAGGACATAGTCCTTCACCCAGCCAGGCTGAACTTTATATCTTGAACAACAAACGGGTGCAGAACCAGAGCGACTATGAGCAGATCAGGAATGTGTTATACACAAGAACAATCTTCCAGAATCCCCCAGGAACAACATCAGGAGTTTAAACTGTTTCTACAGAAATGCCACAACCCTAGTCAGTCACAAGCCACAAGCATTCAAATCAGCCCAGATAGCTCCGGGGAACCGCTGGGTCTCAACCAGAAAATGGCATTTCATTACATTCAACACTTTTTTTTTAATTAGAAATGCATGAAATACATGAAATAATAAGTTTCAAAGTTGTAGATATTACTGTGTTGTATTTTATGTGTTTGTTGTGCAGAGTTTCAAGAGAACAACGCAGTGCTCCGGGATCATTGCGTAGTGTGTCCAGTGTCGGGTCTGGAGTCTCCAGTGTCATTGCTGTGGATAGTTCCGCTGCAGCGTCAACAGCAGCAACCACAGCAATTAATGTCAAGTCCCGACCCAACTCCTCATTGGCTCCTAACTCCTTAACATCTAATGTGCAGGAGGATCTCAACCCAAATGGTGTTGAGGTGAGTTCCTTAGGTTTAATAGAGTGCTACTAAAATTTGTAATCAAAAGTTTTCAAATAATTTGTTGTATTTTAATTATGTCTCCTGTTTTCACTGTCATGTTTTTTTTTTTTTTTGTGTGTGTAATGTTTCACATATTTAATATTATTCAGAGAAGAAATTGTCCTACAGTATTACAGTATTTTTATAATCGGTATTTATTATTCAAAGTGATTTTGCGATGAGGCAACTGCTATTTGTTAATATGAAAAGTTACAAAAACATATTATGAAGCTGCTGTAATTAATTATGCAGTGTAGTATAAATATTGTATATGAATAATATTTTTAAAAATATAAAAATTGGTTGAAGTGGAATATTAGGTATAAAGTTTGTCGTAATTACATCTAGTACCGGCTTCTCTTTTATAACCCAGATGACCTATCTTGCATCAAGAATTTCTAGCATCCACATCTAATTCCAGGCTGCCATTCCACAAGAGGATAACTTTGCAGTGCTCAGAGCTCAGAACACTAACACAAGCGGGGCTCCTGGGGTAACAGGGGGAAGCACAGCAGCAGCAGCAGGCATAGATGACATTAGCGAGCGATATGAACCACCCCAGCCGCACCCACTGCCAATGCCAGAATATGGAGGTTACTTTGCACCACTTACTGAGTACTTGCCAGATAGTTCTCAGCCTATCACTGCATTTCATAGGTAAGTTATTTTATAATAATAATAATAGTAATAATAATACACAGAGTAATCACACTAACGTGATGTACCAGTGATAACATCCATGGGAGCCGTGATGAGGATTCGAACCTATGCGGTGGGTGTTCCCAATCAAATCAATCATCTCAAGATAACACACACATGCCCCCAGACAATCAAACATCATCTATGTATTGAAAGAGGAGTGTCAGAGGTAGAACATTCCTAGATGACAGTCAAAATACAGAGGGGGGGAATTGTGTAAAAATCCTGGTCCAGCTTCAGTGGAAACCTCAGGAAACCCTAGTGTGTTCAGCAGAACTCCAGGTTGCAACCCTTTTGACCATGTTGTGGCCTGATTGTTTGGAGCGTGTGCGTGGGACTACCCACCACATAAGTTCGAATCCTCATCACGGCTCCTTCGGATTTTCTCAATAATAATAATAATACAGTAATAATAATTTTTATTTAAGCAAAAGTACTTACTACATACAAAATAGGAAACAAGAATGTAGGATGTATAAGTAAGTACTATGCCTAAAGTCACTGATACCCACAGCTCCCCCACAGCATTTCTGTGGGGGAGCTTTGGAGGCTCCCTGAAGCTATCTTACTGATCAGGGGGCCATACTACTTGAGTATCATCAGTCATGGAGTTCTTTGTATGCCTACCGGGGACCATGAGCCAGAACCTTGCAGTTCCTGTGGCGCGGGGGTAAAACACTCGTGCAGTGCTTCTTGAGAGCTTTGGCCTTGGTTTGTATCCTGGCCGGGAAGGCACCAATCCTTAACTGTAGTCTCTGTTCACCCAGCAGTGAATGGGTATCTGGGGCCAGATTCACGAAAGCACTTACGCAAGCACTTAAGAACGTGTACATCTTTCCTCAATCTTTGACGGTTTTGGTTACATTTATTAAACAGTTTACAAGCATGAAAACTTCCCATTCAACTGTTTTTATTGTTATAAACAGCCTCCTGATGCTTCGGAGCTCATTAACTGTTTAATAATTAGAAACAAAGCCGCCAAAGATTGAGAAAAGATGTACAGGTTCGTAAGTGTTTGTGTAAGTGCTTTCGTGAATTTGGCCCCTGGTTGTTAAACAATTTAGCGGGTCATATTCCAGGGAAAAAATCAGATTAAAGACCTGCCTGAAACACTAAGCATGCCAGAGACTTTACAAGAATGTAAGAACTTTTGTATATATAATAAAAAAAAAAAACTGCCCCCCCCTCAGAGAGGTGCAGGGAGCAATAGCCCATGAATACTTTACATTTAAAGTATGTCATCATGCCATCGACCAGGGAATGCACCCATAAAGGTAGGTGAATCAAAACAGACTACGGCCTGGTTGAAAATTGAGACATATATCCTCATAAGGAAAAAAGAATGTCTCCAACAAAGAAAACAAACAGGCAAAACTAAATCCATCTAACCCTCCCCCCCCCCCCCTTGTTAGCATCACCCAGATCCCCTTGGGGGGGGGGGGAGCCAGCCTCCTCACCTGGGCTGCCACCAGCCAGTTCTTTGACTGATGACATGCTGAGTGATCACTGTCGCTCTAGCTCCGTATTCCTGTTTTCTTTGGTGTTTTCGCCCTTGCGACGGTGTTATAAACGGATGTGTGCATGTAGCCAGGAGTTTTTGAGTACTGAGGCAGCCCGCAACTGCAATACTCCTCCCGCGGCATTGCTGCAGGAGGAGTCCTACCTTCAGCTGTTTTTGGAGGGCACCTGGGTCACTTGTTGGTTGCTCGAGCAGCTGTGCGGGAGTATGAACTTCGCCATGCTGGTCTACCCATCGGGTCGGATATGGCTTCGGTGGCTGTTCTGGTTCCTTCGGGGATGTCCCTTCTGCCACTATTGTGATTGCTGGGTTCGGACCTCGGGGCCTTGTGTCGGCTGCTGCGTCGTCGGCTTCATCTTCGGGTTTTTCGGGGTTCAGTGTTGTGGCACCTACCCGAGCCCTCACTCAATCTGTTCACAGATGTGTCGTCTCTTGGCTGGGGCTTTGTGACCAGTGCTCACCAAGGGGCGATGGGGTCCGTCAGGCTCACAGCACGGTGCAAGAGTTCACGGCAGTTTGGCTGTCACTTCGGAAAGTTCGAGTCGCTTCGGGTTAGACCATCCGGCTCCATTCGGACTGTTCTCCAGTCTGAATGGAGTTCTTTTATCCACTTTGAGGCAGTGGATAAAAAGAAACTACTGTACTGTTGAATTCAGTAGCCATGTCAGCGGCTGATAACATTCCACTATTTCCAGCTAGGAATGTAGGTTTTATGAAAGTTCTTTTTTGACCCTAATATCTGAGCAATGGTGTTCCATGTTTTCTTCATATTACATTTTATTTGATTAAATTGATTTTCATAGTAGGTTGTCTTAACTTTGTTTATTATCTTAGAAAACAGTCAGGAGTAGCACTTGAACAGTTCTCTGGGGAGGACCCCCTAGCCTGTATTTCTTTTCATATTTATGTTTTTTATTAATTTATGTTAGTATCGCTTTAGTGAACCAAGGGTTTTTGGTCCTTTTAGTTGTGACTTGTTTAGTAAGTAAAGGACATTAACACTTTCGCTGGCCTGGCGGGCAACCCGCCGCACACCACAAAGTCGGCCAAGCATTGCCTGTGAGTACACAACCACTCAAATGTTTATAGTCTTTTCAGCGTTCGTACCTCAATTTTCATGCTACGTCGTTCAGTTTGGTATATTAAATTGTTCGCAATAGAATGCTGTAAAGAGATATTTGCATATAAGAACATATAAGACTCACTTTTCTATACTTTCGATGAACACTCAATAACTTTTCCCTCATACTTGTTTCTTTCACTGCTTTCATCATGGATTGGCTCAATTCTTGATCACCATCTATCTTGAAGTCAACTTGCAGTGTTTATAAAGCCGGTAACAACAAATCCCCAAGATTAAATAACCGGAATGGGAAATTTTAAACTCGAGAGGAGATCGCAGTTGTCACGAGCGAGGTCACGAGAAGACCGAGCCTCCAGTGTGGGTGGGCGCCCACACGACGAGGTCAGGATGCCAGGTTGGATATACAGTGGAGCCTCGATTAACGAATTTAATCCATTCTGTCACCGAGCTCGTCATGTGAAACGCTCGTCTTTCGAAACAAATTTCCCCATTTAAAATAATGAAAATAATGGGATTTATTAATCAAATCATTACTAATAAGACACCTGGTGTTGTTCTTCAGCTACATCTTGCTCTGGTTAGGCCCCCCATCTAGATTACGCAGTTCAGTTTTGGTCGCTGTACTATAGAATGGATATAAATTCACTAGAACGCATCCAGCGTAAGATGACAAAGTTAATCCTGCAACTTAGAAACCTGACACATGAAGAAAGATTGACAAAGCTTAAATTACATTCGCTGGAAAGGCAAAGAGTTAGGGGTGACATATTAGAGGTGTATAAGTGGATGAATGGATATAACAAAGGGAATATTAATAGGGTATAAAAAGTATCAACACAAGACAGAACATGAAACAAGGGATATAAATTGGATAAGTTTAGATTTTGGAAAGACTTGGTAAATACTGGTTCGGTAAGAGGGTTGTTGATTTGTGGAACGAATTACCATGTAACGTGGTGGAGGTTGGGTCCCTTGATTGTTCCAAGTGTGGGGTGGACATGTATATAAGTGGGATTTGGTAGTTATAAATAGGAGCTGCCTCGTATGGGCCAATAGGCCTTCTGCAGTTGCCTTTGTTCTTATGTTCTTATGTTCTTAAAATGTGGTCAAGGGTGTTGGCAATTGTTTCAGTAATTTTCATGGATTTAGTTATCACAGGTAAAAATTTATGGAAGTACATACAATTGAGGGTGGTAGCCATAAGTGGGTTATCAGACTGGCATATGTCAATATTAAAATATCCAGTTAATATTAGTTGATTTTTTTTTTAAGTGTATTATGTAGTACAGTATTAAGTTTCTAAGATTGGAGTTGAATTCAACTACATCAGTGTTAAGAATTCTATAGACTGCTCACAACGTTCAGTTAGCGTTCAAGTCCTTCATTTTGAACTGAGAAAATTTATACTCTCTATGATTGTCTCTAGTTTTATGCACAGAGTAGTAGACGGTTAGAACAAGTTAAGAGAGGTGGTGGTGGAGGCCAAAACCATCGGTAATTTCAAAGCGTTATATGATAAAGAGTACAGGGAAGCCAGGACACTACAAGCATAGTTCTCATCCTGTAACTACACTTAGGTACCGGTAATTACATAATCGATATTCATATCATGTAATTATAATGAAATTTTATACTATGATGATTACCACATTGCCATACCTGTAGTAAAAATTTTAATAACTGCATTTGGATAATAACCAATCGAGAAATGATTGCAGAATTTTTTCATAGGCCGAGGTAAACTGCACTACATCCATGAGTGGTGTAAAACCCAGATAATAATAGTTTAAAATCAACGTATGATAAGCACATTACCCTGTGACTCAACATACAATGATTACCATACTTTGAGGGTTAAGGATGGTAACTAAATTCTACCTTATTGGATTTAACATGTAACCTCAAGGAACATATTCCTTCTTAGAATCAGGAAAGTATTGAACTGTACAGGGAGCACTTAGGTAGTTTCACTAAGAAACAAGAATGTGTGAAATAATTATGATTACTTCCATAAGTGTAATTACTTAAGTGTAGTTAGAGGATTAGAGCGTCGCTTGTAGTGTGCCATCTGTACTATCATATGACATTTTGAAATTACCGAAGGTGTTGACATCCACCACCTTCTCACTTAAATTGTTCTAACTGCCTTCGGTCCCATTTGCAAAAAGAGACCATTCAAATATTTTTTGTCATCTCTGTAACCTTAGCATAAATCTATGACCTCTTATTCTTGAATTTGCAGGTTTCAAGAATTCCTCTTTGTCAATTTTCTAGATTCATGTTGCTATTTTGTATGTAGTGGTCACATTGCCTCCCTTTCTTCTGTCTTCTAGCTTTGGCATATTTAAATTAATGCCTCTAGCCTCTACTCATAGCTTTTGTTGTTCAGTTATTTTGTAGTATACCTTTGCACCTTTTCTAGTTTCATTATTCCCTCACATACAACTTTCATGGCATGAGGAGGCAATTTGCCCCAAGAAGATAAAACAAGTATTATATAATATAGGAAAATGGGTGTTCACAGAGCACACGTTTTATCACGCTGCTGTCCACACAGCAGCGTTGAGGAGACCCAGTACCATCACACTGCAGTATATCATCCACATCTTAGTAGAAAATGAAATGAAGAAAATGGAAAAAGGAAACAACACATGTAAACAACCCTTTTAACCCCCTGTCGTAGCTCAGTCGATTAAGGCAGTGTCAGGGATGTTCCCGGACGCAGGTTCGAATCCTCGTCACGGCCCTTGTGGATTTGTTCATTTAACACATGTAAATAAAAATATTAAGAGAAATAGGACTGGAAGAAATGATACTTATTGGGAAAACAATATGGAGGTGGAACAAATTAGAAAACTGTCAATAGGGCTACAACCCATTTTTTTTATTAATTTGTTTTTTTGTTTTTCTTAACTAATAGCTGATGCTAGATCACATTCTATTACGTTTAGATGCATTTTTATCCCAGGATGTTTTCATATCAATAGAAAAAATTACACGTTCAGATTTTTCTTTTCCAGATGCAACTTAGCTGTGATGTTGATCTGTGATGTGATAGTAGCTGGGATTGATGTTGATTGTCACAGTGTTGACTGGTCCATCCATGTGCCTCTCATGCTGCATATTATCACCCTTGGGCTCGACCACTCCAGGCCACTCGTACATCTACACTGTATGTATATTTTATTTTCTATTTATTTATTTATTTATTTATTTATTTATTTATTTATTTTTTAATTTTAATTTTCTTAGTGTGACACTAATTCTTTGTTTAATTACCGAGTCTGTTTGGCCAGTTTTTGTTTCATATGTTGCTTATACACAGTATATGTTTTACATAAACACAGTCATTACTGGTAATTATCATCATCAATCATGATGATCATCAGTCATGATCATCATCACCATCACATCATCAGTCAGCATATTTAATCAGGGTGCATTGGGTGCAAGAAGTGCAGGGTGACGTGACCTGGCACAGTCACTTTTAAAATATGGACACTTTACCGCTATATTCTAGCAGCATTTCATAGCTGACGCATGAAACTAATCCATGTTAATTCTCGAAAAATAACAATTGTTAATTATTCACTCCATGCTAATTAAATCCCCCATTCGACTCAGACCTGTTCATTGCTAATTTAATTACTGTGTTGTCTTTGTAATTACTGTACCTAAATGTAATTTACCAAGTGTAGTTACAGAATGAGAGCTATTCTCGTGGTATTCCGTCTTTCTAGTACTCTTTGTCGTATAACGCTTTGAAACAACTGATGGTTTTGACCTCCACCACCTTCTCACTTAGTTTGTTCCAACCATCTATTACTCGGTTTACAAAAGAAAAATGTCTAATATTGTTTCGGCACCTCTGTTTTCTTTGGTTAAATTTTTGTCCTCTTGTTTGTGAAGTTGCTGGTTTCAGGAATTCCTCTTTGTCAGTTTGGTCTATTCCTGTTAGTATTTTGTAAGTGGTGATTATTTCACCTCTCATTCTTCTATCTTTTAGTTTTGGCATGTTTAACACCTTTAGTCTCTCCATGTAATTCTTTTTTTTTCAGTTCCAGAAGCCATTTTGTAGCATACCATTGCACCTTTTCCAGTTTATTTATGTGCTTTCTGAGATTTGGGCACCATACAACTGCTGCATATTCCAATTTTGTTCTTGCAAAAGTCACGAACAGTTTATTATTCCACCATCCATATAATTAAAAGCATGCCTGATGTTGGAGAAGTGACGTATACGCAGCTCTCACGATGTTCTTTGTGTTCCTCTGGGGACAACTTACTATCCAAAACAACCTTAGGTCTCATTCTTTATTAGAATTCTGTAATTCCTTTCCACATAATTTGTAAGTTATGTGTGGTCTATTTTCTCCAATTCCACATTCCATAACATGGCATTTATTCACATTGAATTCCATTTGCCACTTGACAATCACTTATTTTATGTAGAACCATTTGAAGGGCATTACAATCATCTGCATCTATTATCTTCCCCAGTATCTTGGCATCATCTATAAACATGTTCATATAATTTGGATTTTATCTGGTAGGTCATTTATGTAGATGATGAACATTACTTGTGCAAGAATTGAACCCTGTAGTACTCCGCTAGTAACACACTTCTAGTCATATACATTGTCTCTGATTACTGCCCTCATCTGTCAGATGAAAATTTCTCATCCATGTCAGAAATCTCCCTGTCACCCTTCCAACATGTTCCAGTTTCCAGAACAGCCTCTTGTGTGAGATTCTATCAAAATCCTGTTTTAGGTCCAGATAGACATAGTCAACCCAACCACCTTTTTCCTGTAGTATCTCTGTGGCTCTATCATAAAAGCTAAGTAGATTTATTACACAGGATCTTCCTGCTTGAGTACCATACTCTTTGCCTTTTCCACATATCTGCTAAGATTCCTGTGCACAAGGATGTCTGGAATATTAATTGGAGTGGAATGCTCAGCTCAGTTGCACATTCTCACAGCACTCAAGGTGAAACTCCATCAGGTCCAACCATTTTATTTCTTCCTAGTCCCATGAGTAATTGTTCTACTTCATCTTGAGATTTCTCTATGTATTCTATGGCATGTTCTGTAATTTGTATTTGGTCTGGCTTTCTGAAATACTCATTTTGTACTAACACACTTTGGAACTATTCATTTAGCATTTCACACATTTCTTTTCATTCTCAGTAGTCCTGTTTCCCATTCTCAATCTCTGGATTTTATCTTTTACATGCAGCTTGTTTTTAATGAATTTATAGAAAAGGCCTGGATCTGTCTTACATTTGTCCGCTATACCTTTCTTAAAGTTTGTATCTGCCTCTCTTCTCACTGCTGTTTAATTGTTTCTTGCTTGTTTGTAATGCTGTTTTGTTTGTGGGTTAGGACTCTCCTGATATTGAACCCATTTTCTTGCCTTTTCCTCTCTGGCTCTCTCACAATTTCTGTTGAACCAATCCTGTTTTCTCTGTTTTGGTATAAATATTTGTGTGTCTTCATCATATATTTTGCAAAATTTTGCAAACATCTCATTTACTTCCTTGCCTAGCAACAAGTCTGTCCAACTAAACTCGTTAAATATTTTTCTAAGTTTCCTATAGTGTCCTCTCTTGAAATCATGTTCATCAACTGTGTATGTTGATATTGTGTATGCTACATTGTGCTCATTGTTTTGGGCCTATTTCCAAGCTTCCACTCCTCCCTTCAAAATCAATCTTTCATTATCCATTTTCTCCATGTGATCTTATACCATCTGTGTTGTGTAAACACACCCTGATCTTATGACCACAGACTTTACCACTGTATAACATTGACATTTCTTAACTTCTTAACTGCAACCTATAGCTACTCAAACTTAAGATTTTTCATGTTTATGCCACAGTAGTGTTTTGTAACTGTTCATCTAGCTTGAAACGGTTGCACTTCTCTGTGTCTCGGCCTCTACTTGCGATCCTCTTTGTTTTGTTCTGTGTTGCCAGGGTTTTCCATACTCTAGCACCTTTTATTAGATGGATGAAACAAATTTAAATTAAAGGTACTGTGAGAGAAAACAGTAAGTCATGAAAGAGCACTGTGATAGTGTGGGTATTATGGCATGGAACATGTATGAGATTAACGCCCTTAAGTGCTGATGACCAACCCCAAGCCAGAAGATGAAGAGACAACAACTTTTCGGTCCGACCTGGACCATTATTGCAATCTACTTGATAAAAGTCCAGGACAGACTGAAATGTCATCGTCTCTTCATCATCTCGTGTGTGGTTTGGTCATCATATCTTCAGCCACGTTATTGTGACTCATCATCTGCATGCTTAAGTGGTATTGCACTGTATAAAGCACCTTCTGGTCTGTTACATAGTTCATTCCTTTGTGGAATACAGGCAACAGGTGAAATACTGTACGTGATAAACAAAAGTACCATCACCATTATTAACCTAAAGTGACTTGTTCCCCCTGCAGGCAAAACGCTGCTTATTCACCTCTTAACGGTCGTTGCTGACCACCGAGATCACCTGGGCGTTGCAAGAGTTCTGCTCAACAACAAGACGACTATGCTTGGTTATGGACTTATCCCTAATAACATATTTACTCATAACAAGAACTTCACTGGTGAGAAAACTGTTATGCTTTCATTCATGTAGTTTTGGGGTCTTTAAAAGGTAAATGGATAATGGGGCTCCCATATACCTTTTACACTTGATACTCATTGTAGAGGTAAATTATTAATAAAAATTAATAAAAATTGCTATAAGGGGGAAGTTAAGGGGAGTTAACTATTTCAGTTACTGTTCGTTCTATATACCTGCCTGTGGTATTCCTGTTTATAGTTACTGAAAGAGAGCCATGTGCTCGTGGTGTCCATTCATTATATATTTGGTCATATAACGTGCTGTACCAGGTTTGTGGCACATTACACACTATAGCAGTTTAAATATAACTTACCTTGATAAGACTACTCATAGCCCAGTTGATAGAGTTTTGGCCTCACACGTGTGTGGGGTCAACGGTTCAAGACTCCTAGAGCCTAGGTGAATGTAATCTTGTAGTTTCTTCCATTTATCTACCAATCTGTTTGCAAAGAAAATTTCCTTGTGTTTTTTCTACAGCTATGATTCTTTAGTTTATACCTATGGTTATTTGTAATGTTCAGTGCAGGTTTCTTGAATGCTGTTATTTATATCTTTTTGAAATCTGTTACAATATTATTTACCTGATTTTTTACCTGAGGGGCCACTAACCCTAGTGGTCTCGATGAGGACAGGAAGCCAGCAGCTTGTCGAAAATCCCCCCCATTTGCCTTGATAATCTTTTTCAGGTATATTTTAAAACACAATACAATTTTGGCAGTTGTGACTTCGGCAGGTAGGCGGTTCCATGGGTTAATAACCCTGTGGGTGAAAAAGCATCTTCTGTTCTCAGTCCTACATTGTGGCTTGTTGAGCTTGAAACTGTTACTCCTTGTTTGTGTTACATATGTAGACCCATAGACTGGGTCAAGCAGGAGGGAAACACCAAGGACCTCCCGAGCCTCTGCAGGGGGGAACATGAGAGGAAGGAAACCTCCAGAAAGACAAGACCAGTGTGCCTAAATGCACACAGAAACACTCTGAGGGAAGCCGTACCTACCTCAAACTTGTACAGGAAAGAAGAATAAGAAACCCTCTCCCCCTGCAGCAACAGACCCTTTCACAGAGGACACAAGGACCCACAAAAGCTGAATTAAAACCCCAGAGCTTCATTCCGATCCCCGCCCCCCCCCCCCCTTCCCTCCCAAACTTGAGGAACTGCAGCCAAGGGTCCCGGGGGCAGAGCCTTCATCCACGCCCACCACCTGGGAAAGAAAGAAGAGTCCATTGGGAAAACCTTGATTGAAAGGGCCTACTGGGAGGATCCTGAAGTTTTGGCATTATAGAGCGGCTCAACATTCCCAACCCAAGGAAAGAGAGAGTTACAGACCACCAGTTTACCTTAAAGGTGAGGACCACAACAAGTGAGGAAGCCCCCCCATGAAGGGAGTGTTGGCCGAATGCCCCAGGAATGATAACCATGACATAACACATACAGCTCTAGTACACTAAATTCCTGGTTCATCACACCTCCATGTAGGAACACTGCGAAAGGGTGAAAATGACAAAGAAAGCAGGAAACCAGAGCCAGAGCAACGTGACCACCAGGCATGGACATTAGTACTCAACTGGACTGCACATGGCTTGGCTGACCCAGGCCAGCTCCCTCCTCTCCTGCAGGTGTGGGCAAACTAGCATGGGGTTAGTTTCACAAAATTTTGTTTTCATTGTGGGGGAAGTTCTTTGGCAATTTTGAGGCTACAGTTTCTTTTTAACCATGCAATACATTAGTCTGTTTTGATTCGCCTATTTTTCTGGGTGCCTTCCCTTGGATGGTGGCAAAGATGATAAACTTTAAATGTAAAGTGTTTATAGGCCATCACTCCTTGCACCTCTCTGAGGGGACCAGGTTCTGGCTTGTCCCCAGGAGGCCAGTAGAACTCCATGACCGTTGTGTGGGCCTCATAATGGTCATGAGAGAGATTATGGTAATAGCTGACAAAGATAAATCCCGACTGTTGATACTGGGAGACTTCAACTTAAGGTAATAGACTGGGAGGCCTACGAGGCAAGAACAAAGGACATTTGGCCAGGCAGATTTGTAAACCTCATCTTGGAGACATTCATGTATCAACACGTCAAGCAGGCCACAAGAATGAGGGAAGGGGATGTTCCGTCAGTACTGGATCTAGTATTCACAAGGAAAGAAGAAGAGGTATTTGACATCCAGTACCTTCCTCCCTTTGGAAAGAGTGATCATGTCCTCTTGGACATTAAATAAGCTATGTGATATAATCTAGTAGAGAATGGGGACAGTGAAACTGTTGTTAAACTCAATTTCACTATGGGGAACGCTATGGGGAACTTAGAAAAAATTTTCTTGGGTATAATTGGACAGACTTGTTGCTAGGCAAGGAAGTAAATGAGATGTATGCCAAATTTTGCAAAATATACGATGAAGGCACACAAACATTCATACCAAAACAGACATGCAGACCTAGGAAACAGGGTTGGTTCAAGAGAAATTGTGAAAGGGCCAGAGATCAAAAGACACAAGCATGGAATCATTATAGAAAGAGGCCAAACTCCCAAACATATTAGCGATACAAAGATGCAAGAAACAACTACACGTCAGTAAGGAGAGAGGCAGAGAGAAACTTTGAGAATGGTATAGCAGACAAATGTAAATCAGATCCAGGCCTTTTCTATAAATTCATTAATTGCAAACTGCAGGTAAAGGATAATATTCAGACTTTGAAAATGGGGGACAGATACACGAAAAATGAAGAGGAAATGTGTGAAACATTAAACGAATGATCCAAAGCGTGTTTGTACAAAATGAGATCTTCAGAGAACCCAACACAATAAGAATTCCAGAGAACAGCATAGAGCACATAGAGGTGTCTCGAGACAAAGTGAAACAAATGCTTCTGGAGCTAAGTAAGAACAAAGCAGTTGGCCCAGATGGAGTTTCACCATGGGTTCTGTGAGAATGTGCACCTGAGCTCAGCATTCCACTTCAGTGGATTTTTGCTTGGGGACCATTCAAGCTTGTTCGCATTTGTGTTGCTCATGTGGCCCCATAAAAATGAGGTGATTTGATGAAAAGCTATGCCCAAGATTACCATCAAAATGCAGTCGAGATGGTCGTTCAAATAGCCTCGACTATCACCACTTTTTGTATGGTCACTGATGGTCGAGTGGTTTAACCCTTAAACTGCGCAACGCGCCTGCAGGCCCACATCTGGTTTGCGCGACGTGCCTCCGGGTATTTTTATTTTTCACGTTCCATTCAAAACTCCCGCGGCTACATGGGGTTCACATCAGGTTCCTCAGGGCTCTTGTAAACAGACGCCATCTTTAAAAAAAATCGTGGTCCACATTCCCTGGTGTGGGAGCCTCAGTATTGAGTGAGCAACCAAGGCTAGCGCTTGCAGCATGAGCGCACAGCACTGCGTGTGACCACAGCATCGCCTAAAAATGTCAAAATATATATATAACTTGTATTATTTAGCCATGATAGTATTATAGAAGAGCCTGAGTGTGATAATGACTGGGAACAATGTTCAAATATCAGTGATTCAATGCTGTTCATGATGTTCACAACGCTAGCCACAGCACCACAGCATTATTTCGTCCATCTAGGAATCTTCAAATGACTTCTTAGGTTTTTTTTCAAAATAAACGTGTGGTTAATTATTCATTTACAGGAATTAGTGACCAGAATTGTGGTTATAATTAGCATTGTGCGTAGTATTGTGGAAGGAGGAATTTTGGTGAGGGAGGGAGAGAATTGAGGTAGCCTCACTGTGTGTGTGTGTGTGGCAGCCACTCTTGTTTTGCTCACCATTCTAGCTTAGTGGTTCGCTATGGGGAACACATATGTACATGGGTATATACAGTGTGTGTGTATATAGTGTAATAACAGCAACAGGAGTATGTTGAGAGGAGCTATTTTGGCGAGGGAGGTGACGTCGTAATCGTAGCGTCGTCTGCTGTCTGCTGTGTGATTTCTCATGCAGTGTATGGTAGCAACTGTACTGTTTGGACACAGTACCGGCTTACTTGCATAGTTCTAGTGAATAAAACATGCAGATAGGTATACATAACATATGTAAATAGTGTAATAAAAACAGTAAGAGTATGGTGGGAGGAGGGGTGATGGCGAGTACAATGTTGGAGGAGAGAGGGAGGACTGGCTGGCTGGGTGTGGCAGCTCACACTTGTGGAGTTCTGAGTGTGTTTATGGTGTGTGACAGTGTAGAGTGTGTAAATGTGTGGTAAATATACATAAATGAACCAGAAACATTGGTGTGAATAACAGTATGGTGGGAGTAGGGATGATGGCGAGTACGATGTTGGAGGAATAAGGGAGGACTGGCTGGCTGGGTGTGGCTGCTCACACTCGAGGAGTTCTGTGTGTGTTGATGGTGAATGTATATAGTGTGTGACAGTGTATAGTGTGTAAATAGATTGTATATATACATAAATTAGCATGATACATGGTAAATAGGTGCAACATATGTGTACACAAGTGTCATGTACGTAACACAGTGTCTTTGGACAGTACAGATGTTTTACTGCCATAATATAGTGTACGTGTTCATTATACATAGGATTAGCACGTAAAAACAAATAAAATGTATTTGGAACTGTGCGCAAAAAATGAATAAAAATATATTTGTGGCAACAAGGGAGCCGGTCGGCCGAGCGGACAGCACACTGGACTTGTGATCCTGTGGTCCTGGGTTCAATCCCAGGCGCCGGCGAGAAACAATGGGCAGAGTTTCTTTCACCCTGTGCCCCTGTTACCTAGCAGTAAAATAGGTTCCTGGGTGTTAGTCAGCTGTCACGGGCTGCTTCCTGGGGGTGGAGGCCTGGTCGAAGACCGGCCTCCGCGGGGACACTAAAAAATGCCCCGAAATCATCTCAAGATAACCTCAAGATAACTCGCGCGCCCCACCCCAGGCGCCCTACTGGCCCCGGGAGCGTACATCACGGGCGAACGGGGAATGATGACGTCACGCCCCAACTTACAGACCCCATAGCAGCCAAAGTAAGTACAATTTCAATTTTTTTTTACATACCCATACTCAGGAAGGGTTTTTGACACTTAAAAAAAAATATTTTTTTCCAGAGAATTTATTTCCTGCGCACACGGGGGGTGTCATATTTGGAGGCAACGAAGTTAAGGGGTTAAGGCACCGTGTACCCCAGTTGCAATTTGGTCTTGGCGGTCCAGGTTTGAGTCGCTTCTGGGGTGTGGAGTTTTCATTCATATATATATAAATATATATATATAATATTAAAAGTAATTATACACATATTTACATGTAATTATTGATGTGCTCTTTACTCTGAACAATATCAGAGGAACCTCCAACAGATCCAGCATTGCCGATAGTGGCTGCACCTCCAGGATTTGAGAACCCACCTGATACCGCTAGTGAATGTGATGGAGGCGCTCCTGTTGAACTACTAGATGACCACGGGACTAACCCTGTCATCGTCACCTCGGATGACAATGCTGATACTGTTTCTGGTTCCTCAGCCACGGGCGCCGAGCACGTTCCTCAGGATGATCTCCAGTATAGCATTATGGCCCTTATAGATTTTATAGCTTCCAGGTAGGAATGTGGAAGTTATCTTTGTACATTTATTGATTATTTTGTACTATTTTGGTGCTGTATTTAAAAATTTAAAATACGTTGAATGAAAGGCTATATGAGAGCCTTTGAAAATATGTAACGTAGGAGGAGCAGGAAGATATTTATGTAAGTACCCTGCATACAGTAACAAAAGTGAAGTATGTGTAAAAGTAAATGAGAAACTGGTTGAAACTTGTGAAAAAAAAGTTGTAAAATAAATACAAGAGTATGTAATGTTTGTAATGTGTTTTAACATATAGTGCAACCTCCAAAATCCCAGTTATCCAAATGATGGAAGGGCAAAAGAGTAACGCTTTTGCTGAAACTGCAGTTCATAGGATTCTGGAGGAGGATCTGTATTCTCAAAACAGCAGGCAAAGATGAGGATGATGTATGAGGGGTGATGTGCCAGAGTGAGGATGATGTCCCAGTGTGAAGTATGAGGATGGTGTCCCAGTGTGAAGTATGAGGATGGTGTCCCAGTGTGAAGTGTGAGGATGGTGTCCCAGTGTGAAGTGTGAGGATGGTGACCCAGTGTGAAGTGTGAGGATGGTGTCCCAGTGTGAAGTGTGAGGATGGTGTCTCAGTGTGAAGTGTGAGGATGGTGACCCAGTGTGAAGTGTGAGGATGGTGACCCAGTGTGAAGTATGAGGATGGTGTCTCAGTGTGAAGTGTGAGGATGGTGTCCCAGTGTGAAGTGTGAGGATGGTGTCCCAGTGTGAAGTATGAGGATGGTGTCTCAGTGTGAAGTGTGAGGATGGTGTCCCAGTGTGAAGTGTGAGGATGGTGACCCAGTGTGAAGTGTGAGGATGGTGTCCCAGTGTGAAGTGTGAGGATGGTGTCCCAGTGTGAAGTGTGAGGATGGTGTCCCAGTGTGAAGTGTGAGGATGGTGTCCCAGTGTGAAGTGTGAGGATGGTGTCCCAGTGTGAAGTGTGAGGATGGTGTCCCAGTGTGAAGTGTGAGGATGGTGACCCAGTGTGAAGTGTGAGGATGGTGTCCCAGTGTGAAGTGTGAGGATGGTGTCCCAGTGTGAAGTGTGAGGATGGTGTCTCAGTGTGAAGTGTGAGGATGGTGTCCCAGTGTGAAGTGTGAGGATGGTGACCCAGTGTGAAGTGTGAGGATGGTGTCCCAGTGTGAAGTGTGAGGATGGTGACCCAGTGTGAAGTGTGAGGATGGTGTCCCAGTGTGAAGTGTGAGGATGGTGTCCCAGTGTGAAGTGTGAGGATGGTGTCCCAGTGTGAAGTGTGAGGATGGTGTCCCAGTGTGAAGTGTGAGGATGGTGTCCCAGTGTGAAGTGTGAGGATGGTGTCCCAGTGTGAAGTGTGAGGATGGTGTCCCAGTGTGAAGTGTGAGGTTTGAGAATTTTACCCCATGATGTGGTGTGAGGAAGGTCCTCATGATGTGGTGTGAGGAAGGTCCTCATGATGTGGTGTGAGGAGGGTCCTCATGATGTGGTGTGAGGAAGGTCCTTATGATGTGGTGTGAGGAAGGTCCTCATGATGTGGTGTGAGGAAGGTCCTCATGATGTGGTGTGAGGAAGGTCCTCATGATGTGGTGTGAGGAGGATGTCCCAAGATTGCTCTTCATATAGGTCTTATGATTTTGTATGGGATGTTCAACAGACTATTGTGGTATTGATATATTTTGGTGAATTTGTAATTAGCTTTTCTTGGATATCAGCACTAAAATAATAGTCTGTTTTTGTTTTAATTCTGTAGTAAGAACCAAGCTCTTTGGGCTTACGAAGACATCACCTCAAAGCAGTTCTCTATTAGAAGTGCCGAACAGCTTGCCAACTTCGTTCGACATGTCGTTACGGTAAGTTTTCTCATGCTGCTTAAATATTGTAGTAACTTTACTTAATATATTTCATAAATTTAAAAACACAAACTAGGTGGCTTGCATTTATTTCTGATATTTTATGTACTATGCAGACGATGAGTCACAATAACGTGGCTGAAGATATGATGACCAAACCACTCACTAGAAGATGAGGCGACGACGACATTTCGGTTCGTCCTGGACCATTATCAAGTTGTTTGTAATAATGATCCAGGACGGACCGAAATGTTGTCGTCTCCTCGTCTTCTGGTGTGTGGTTTGGTCATTTTATGTAGTACATATATTCTTGAATTTTTGTTATTTTTCCCTCTGTCATTTTAGGTGTTCAGTCACTCCTTACCTCATACTCACATTGAAGAGCGGTGGGCCCAGATTGCCTTACACCTGGCACTCTCCTGCTCCTCTCGACATTATGCCGGACGATCCCTTCAAGTAAGTTTTGTTTAAAATTTACCCTTTTAACCACACTTACCATAAAATAGAGTCCACTTTCAATAGAACTCCTGGCTGCAATCCTTATACCATGTCGTAGTCTACTTTGCTAGAACGTGTGTGTGTGTATGTGGGAACATCCACCACATAGGTTCAAACCCTCATCACGGCTCCTATTGATTTTCTCATAATATAAAAATAATATATATAGTAATATAGTATAATAATACTGTATAATATTAGTAATAGTATAGTATAGCAATATAGTACAGTATATAATATAGTTATGCAATTACTTTTTCATATTGTATGGCATTCAACATTCATTCTTGAATTTATTTTAGGGAAAAACCCTTAGTATATGGTCAGACTGAGTGATAGTTCAGTCACATCTTATAAAGATGCATTAGGCTTCTTAAGACCCACCCTTGCCCTCTAGTTGGCAGGGTCAGAATCTGGCACTCACCTAATTGTACTCACCTAATTGTGCTTGCGGGGGTTGAGCTTTGGCTCTTTGGTCCCGCCTCTCAACTGTCAATCAACTGGTGTACAGATTCCTGAGCCTACTGGGCTCTATCATATCTACATTTGAAACTGTGTATGGAGTCAGCCTCCACCACATCACTGCCTAGTGCATTCCATTTATTAACTACTCTGACACTGAAAAAATTCTTTCTAACGTCTCTGTGGCTCATCTGGGTACTAAGTTTCCACCTGTGTCCCCTTGTTCGTGTCCCACCCGTGCTGAAGAGTTTGTCTTTGTCAATTCCCCTGTCAATTCCCCTGAGAATTTTGTAGGTGGTTATTATGTCTCCCCTTACTCTTCTGTTTTCCAGGGATGTGAGGTTCAGTTCCTTTAGCCTTTCCTCGTAGCTCATTCCTCTCAGTTCCGGGACGAGCCTGGTGGCATACCGCTGAATCTTCTCTAGCTTTGTCTTGTGTTTAACTAGGTATGGACTCCAGGCTGGAGCTGCATTCTCCAGGATTGGTCTTACATAAGTGGTATACAGGGTTCTGAAAGATTCCTTACACAAGTTTCTAAAGGCAGTTCTTATGTTGGCCAGTCTAGCATATGCCGCTGATGATATTCTTTTGATGTGTGCCTCTGGGGACAGGTTCGGTGTGATATCAACCCCCCAGATCTTTCTCTCTATTTGACTCTTGCAGGATTTCACCTCCCAGATGATACCTTGTGTTCAGCCTCCTGCTCCCTTTGCCTAATTTCGTCACCTTACACTTTCCTGAGTTGAACTTTAGCAGCCATTTTCTAGACTCTGAGGTATCGGGAGCTTAGGGATGATAGATCAACGCCAAACCAAGAAAACCCCCAGAAAGCATAAGTGCAACAAAGCAAGCAAACTGCTTGAATAAATTGGATGCCCCGAGGGAAATGATAATTGGCACAGTGTAACATTCTTCACCCTGATACACCTGACTTCCACTAGGTAGCAGCTGGAAACATGTGGGGTTCTAGCCAGCCTGTCCTCTCATTCACTGGCCTAGTTACAGTAGAGGAAGCACACAGGAGCCTGGTAGCCTGGTGGATAGCGCGCAGGACTCGTAATTCTGTGGCGCGGGTTCGATTCCCGCACCAGGCAGAAACAAATGAGCAAAGTTTCTTTCACCCTGAATGCCCCTGTTACCTAGCAGTATATAGGTACGTGGGAGTTAGTCAGCTGTCACGGGCTGCTTCCTGGGGTGTGTGTGTGTGGTGTGGAAAAAAAAAGTAGTTAGTAAACAGTTGATTGACAGTTGAGATGTGGGCCGAAAGAGCAAAGCTCAACCCCCGCAAACACAAACTAGGTGAATACACAACCTCCAACAAGAGGGGTTGACACTCTCTGAAGCATTAGTTCTGCTGGGAGCCATTAGTTATTGATTCTTTTTCCTTGTCAACTTTTGTTGTGTCACCCACATTGCTTTACCTTTGTATTTTTCTCTGATTGTGGGCCGTTGCTAATTTCCATGGAGGTCGGGTGGCATTTTCCTTGTCATACTAGAGATTACTGCTCTGAGGGGTTTAAAGCTCCATCTCTGTAGGGTGGCTCTTCTTCAGTCACTTGCCACAGTCCAATATATACACATCAGCCCGGTATAGCTTCGAAGGCCTTTGGGTCTCGCCCAGAAAATGGCGTTTCATTACATTCAACGCTGGTTTTTTGAAACTGGAACATATTATTGGGGTGGCAGGGAGACTGCTGACATGGATGAAAAATTTTCTGACAGAAAATGAGGGTGGTAATCAGAAGCACTGCACCAGACTGGAGAAATGTTACTAGTGGAGTACCACAGGGTTCAGTTTTTGCTCCAGTAATGTTCATTGTCTACACAAACGATCTACCAGAAGATTGTTTGATGATGCTAAATATACTAGTAAATATAAGAAACTTCTTATAGTCATGTCCTTCAAGAAGACCGGGACAAAATTAGTGTATGGAGCAACATATGGCAAATGTAATTTAATATGACTAAATCCCACATTATGGAATGTAAAACAGGAGGAAATAGGCTATACACACTCTAAAAATTATGTGAAAAAGCATTAAAAAATTTTGATAACCACTCCTAGAAAGATCTAGGGTGGTTCTGGATTGAAAACTGTCATCTGAGGACCACATAAGGAACATTGTATGGCAAACGTATGCTACGCTTTCCAACTTCATAATCACTTATAAAAACATGGATGGCAAAATATTAAAGGAATTATTCACATCCTTTGAGAAACCAAGAGAGAGACCAAGAGAGACGCACGGTGATCAAAATTGATATGAAGCAGTTGTATGGTGCTACGTATATCTAAAGAAGCACATCAATAAACTGGAAAAAGTACAAAGACTAGCACCTAAAAGGCTCCTGGAACTGAGAAACAAGAGCTAGAATGAAAGGCTGGAGGTGTTACATATACCAAAGCTAGAAAAGAAAAGAGGTGACATGATCACTTCATTTAAAGTAGTAACAGAAATCAACTAAATTGACAGAGGAATTCTTGAAAACTGCAACTTCAAGAATAAGAGGTCACAGATTCAAATCAAGTAAATAAAGTTGCCAAAAAAACATTAGAAAGTTCACTGTTGCAAACAAAGTGTTAGATGGTTGGAACAAATTAAGTGAGGTGGTGGTGGTGGAGGCCAAAGCCATCAGTAGTTTCAAGACGTCATTTGACAAAGAGTACTGGGAAGACGGGACACTACAAGCGTAGCTCTCATCCTGTAACTACACTTGGGTAATTACACTTCGGTAATTACTATTATGTGCCTATCAATACTATAGGTTACTGTACTGTAGGTATTTACTTAGACAGATATGAAAATTAACTCCTTAGATTGTATACAGAATATCCGTTCATCATAACAGCATTAACTTTTCTCATGAACTTCTTTCTTCTTAAATTTGTGCAGGTGTTTCGATCACTACACGTGTCGATGTCATCGCGCATGCTGAGTGATCTGCTGGGTCGCCTGGTGGAAACAGTGGCTGAACAAGGAGAAGATATGCAAGGCTATGTCACCGAACTGATGCTCACCCTTGAATCTGCCGTTGATGCATTAGACTCTGACTTCCGGTGAGTGAAATGTTGCTTCTATAGTTTATGGTTAATTTTGCTAGATTGCCAATGAAAGATATTGGGGAAATATTTTATTTATTGAATGAACAAAGAAAGTAAGAATGCAAGTGGTAATAATTCTGTAATAATCTATTTTCAAAATAAAATATAAATAATTTGAAAAATAAATACAAATTAAAGTAGCAGATGTTCAGTTATATTAATGTAAATGTAGTCAAAGTAAAAATTCTCTGAGGGGTATGAGTGAAGTTAAAGAGAGTTGTAGAAAAAGGTTGTAAACGTAGGCTTTGAATGTACAGGTATACAAAAACCACCTATCTGAGCAGGCCTACTTGGTTACCCCTAAAGTAATATTTTGCTGTCATTGGGGAGTAGCAAATCTGACATCAGACAGGGCAATATTTTAGGTAGTAACATCACAGAAAACTTTTCAAACATCCCAGCTGGGTCATATTAGTACTGTGGAGCACCAGAGAAAATCATGCAACACCTGAGCAACAATGTAATACTTTCGCATCTCCGGCGTATGGGCCTCAGCCTACCTAAATGTGCACTGGGTGTTTCTTGTCAGCGCGTGGCTAGACTAGAATGTGTGTACTCGTTTCAGTTTTCTCTCCTTAATTCTCGTGCTACGTCATTCCTTTTGGTATCAATGTGTTCGCAATCAAATTCCCTACATGAGTACAGCATATGTATATAAGGTCCAAAAGCCCGGCCCAACTTCCCCACAGCAAAGCCGAAAGTCGGCCGAACGTTACCCGTAAGCGCACAAGAGCAGTAAAATGTATATACTCGTTTCAGTTCAATGTGTTCACGATAAAATTCCCTACAGGGGGTATATGCATATAAGGTCCAAAAGCCCGGCGTGACTTCCCCACAGCACAGCCAAAAATCGGCCAAGCGTTACTTGTGAGCGAGCACCAATTGGCACACCTGCAACCTAATGTGTATACTCTTTTCAGTTTGATAACATCAATTTTCATGTTACGTCGTTCATTTTGGTATCAAATTGTTTGAAATATAAAGGCGCATATTTGAAAACAAGTCCCATAATAATCGAACGATAACTAGGATTTTAACAAATATTTTAATTTTTTACGCTCATCACCACAAAAGTATTCATAATCTTTCCAGTGTTCAAGCCTCAATTGTCATGCTACGTCATTCATTATGGTATCACATTGTCCTCAATCTAATGGCGCTCATTTTAAAACTAGTCCTAAAATGATCGGATAAAAATTAGAATTTTAAATAATATTTTAATTTGGGACGCGACCTTCGTCCCGGGCGAACATACGTGAGAAAAATTACAGACACATAATTTGTCCCAGTTGTGTGAAAGTGTTTTAAGACTGACAGCAATGAAGTGAGTTTGCTCTGAAATTGGCATTTTATATATTATACGCTGAAAGCCTATTTCATGGCTGTCCTATCTGCTTGACCTCTAATAATCTTAGGCCCCTGGAAGGATGAAATTAAATAAACACGAAAAGGAATGGCCTAAACTGGATCAGAGGTTGGTACCTGCCAAGAGATGACCATAGTCAACTCAAGGAAATGGCACAAAAAGAAGAGAAGATACCCAAAGGGCCTGATGGCTGAGTGGACAGTGCTCGGGATTTGTAGTCCAAAGGTTCCGGATTCGATCCCTGGCAGAGGCGGAAAAAATAATGGGCAGAGTTTCTTTCACCCTGATGCATCTGTTCACCTATCAGTAAATAGGTACCTGGGAGTTAGGCAGCTGCTACGGGCTACTTCCTGGGGATGTGTAACAAAAAGGCCTGGTCAAGGACCGGGCTGCGGGGACGCTTAGCCCTGAAATCATCTCAAGATAACCCCAACACTGCATCAGATGGAGAATGATCAGGTAGAGAGGCAACAGGAAAAGAAGAGACAGAAAGCCACAAACCAACACCAAAGGTAAAAGAGCCTAGGCTGAACTATTCATAGGGTAGTGGCAAGAATTGCTCTGCTCATAAACCCCTCCATGTTCTGTTTAGACAGAACAAAAATCATGACTGGAAGAATGAGATTGATTCTTTGCCAAAGGTTCCAGTCAAAACCCACAGCATCTTATGTTAAGGCATTGCGGAAACAGAAGTACAGATTGTGGCAGTTTGTGGTTATCTTAAGATGAGGTTATCTTGAGATGATTTCGGGGATTTTTAGTGTCCTTGCGGCCCGGTCCTCGACCAGGCCTCCACTTCCAGGAAGCAGCCCGGTCCTCGACCAGGCCTCCACTCCCAGGAAGTAGCCCGTGATAGCTGACTAACACCCAGGTACCTATTTACTGCTAGGTAACAGGGGCATATGGTGAAAGAAACTCTGCCCATTGTTTCTCGCCGGCGCCCAGGATTGAACCCGGGACCACAGGATCACAAGTCCAGCGTGCTGTTCGCTCGGCTGACCGGTTTTATGCCAATGTGAAGAGATTCACCTGTTGGATGCTAAAGGTGTCACACGACACTTGAAGGGACACATGGTTGAATCTCAATTTGTTATGAAAGAACGAGGATCCTCCAAATGTAGACTGCAGAGAAGACTAAACTCTGATAAATCGGAAAAATGTCTACAGAGGGAAGGACTTGGGTGGTGTTCCCTCAATTGAGTCAGCTCCTCACTGATGACCTGGAAAGTTCAGTGATACAGTTCTATGCAGATCATCTCCAGTTTTCTGACAGTCTTGAGGTTATCTTGAGATGATTTCGGGGCTTAGTGTCCCCGCGGCCCGGTCCTCGACCAGGCCTCCACCCCCAGGAAGCAGCCTGTGACAGCTGACTAACTCCCAGGTATCTATTTACTGCTAGGTAACAGGGGCATCAGGGTGAAAGAAACTCTGCCCATTGTTTCTCGCCGGCACCCGGGATCGAACCCGGAACTACAGGATCACGCGTCCAATGTTCTGTCCGCTCAGCCACCGGCTCCTAAGTGCTTTAGTGTTATAGGCCTCAGTCAGTGGCAGAGACTACTTTTCCTGACCCATTTGATGACAGATGCAGACATGTCCAGCCCATCTGGGATGTTTCTATAAGAAGCTGTAGAAGGTCAGAAGCCACCAGAAAACAGAATGGCACCAGCCTCTGAGACTCCCTTGAGCCTATCAGGAGCCAGGATTCAATGAGGCAAGAGCAGCTTCTGGGTGAGAGATCAACCCAAAGAGGAGAAAAAACCACCAGAAGTAAAATAGTAACCCTTAGTAACCCTGAGGTAAACAAGGCAAATGGTCATTGCTGTGAAATAATTGTCATATCAATGAAGCACCCCCACACTGCCAAATGGTAACACAAGCCATATAGTATCCCTGCCAGCCCACCACTTTATTCACACACCCAGTGCTGCTGGGGTCGGACACCAAGTTGGAATGCTCTCTCATTCAGCTTCACACTTTCGGATAAGTGCTGTTGGCTTTGGCTATCCTTGGGATGATTAGTTCCATACAGGGCCATTGCTTTGTTTATGGGAAGGTCCAAACCTAGTCTCACACCATGCTGTAATGAATCAAGAGCACCTGCTGTTGCTCAGGACCAGAATCTGGCTGCCCTCTTCTGTCCCCTTGTTAGAGAGGAGGCAGTGGCAGATTGGTGACCTGTCAATTTTGAATTGCTATGATTTTGAGAGATTGTTTCTTAATTTGAAATTTCTTAGTCTTTACCCAAGTGTAATTTACCTTAGTTACAGGATGAGAGCTACGCTCGTGATGTCCCGTCTTCCCAGTACTCCTTGTTGCATAATGCTTTGAAATTACTGATGGGTTTGACCTCTTTAGTGTGCCATTACAAGTGATCTCTTCTTAGTGGTGGATTGAAGCATGTTCTCCACTAAGCTTCCCATCTCTTATTTTGTGGGAAAAAACAATTTGCAAAGATACTGCACTTGTCATACTGGAGCAAAACGTTGTACAGCTTCAGGCAAGCAAGTTCCACTATGTAATCAAAGTTGCATTTCATTCCATCCAAAGCTTAATTTGGGGCCATAAATCATGGATTGATCAATATACATGAGCTAATGTAACGGGGGGTGGGGGGAAATAGCTCTATCTTGTCCATTATTCCACCCCCCAGTTAACTAACGAGGCCGGGGGAAACAGCTCTCTCTAGTCCGTTATCCCGTCCTCAGTTAGCTAACTATTCTAGAGCACCCTCCAGAGTTCCTAAGGCAACCTCTCTCGTTCAACACCTTGTAACCTAGGTATTTGACTACCTAGGTGCTAAGACTACAAGGCGCCGTCACTTGATCAGTTACCCGAAACTCTAGAGAGAACTCTAGAATACGGAATCATTGCCACAAACGTATAAGAGGAAACGAAAGGAAAGAAATGAAAAGTGAAGTAATTAGTGAGGGTTTGGGGTGAGAGGTAGAGAGGTGGGAGGAGCGAGGAGGGTCATTAGTTGAAAGTGAGAGTTTAGAGAGGGGGTGGAGGGAGAGGGTAGATAGGTAGAAGTAGAAGAGTAGATAGTAGAAGTAGAAGAGTAGATAGTAGAAGACGAAATGCTGCCACCATCCATTCATGATCATTACATACAAGACAAGGAATGGAACTTGTCTGTATCACAATATTCACCAAAGATGTTATCATGAGTTCATTATTAGTAGTTCCCATCTTTATCATGTACTCATTCTAAACCATGAAACCAGTAACCACAGAGGCTTTCTCACCTCAACTCAATTCTCTAGGGAACACAGTGAAAGACCATTTAAATAATAAATTCAACAATTATATTTTTCATGATAAGTATCATAACTTAAGCAATCCAATTAAAAATGTTAACGATTAATATTCAAAGTGAGTCATCATCCAAGAATTTGAGAACCCTACAACTTGACTGCCCCTGATCATCACACAACATATGTAAACACGACCAAGTCACCTCACTGTTCACTCACCGAGGACTGAGTCTAAGTTGAATAGAGAGGGGGGAGGGGTCTGTAGCTGACAGAGACTCCCGCCCTGCCGGCCGACAGCCTCCCTGGTAGGGCTGTCTTCTCTGCTCTGCTCGTCTGTTGTTCTGTCTCCTATTGCTTAATGCTCGATAGCTCTCCGAGTTTATATTGGGGAACCTAGTAGCTAACTCCGCCCACAAGTAGATAGCCTCCGGCACTACCAAGCCACTCCTTAAACGTCGGCATGTTTGAAGGCTACCCGGCTCCAATTATACGCTTAGCGGAAGCAAGGTGAAATTCTCATGATCTGACCTCAGGTCACTTGGGGTCATTAACGCTTTGAGGTGTGAGATCTCAGGCAGACAACTGGCGCCTCTCAGATCCTTGTCTGTGACTCATATTCTATATATATTTTAAATAAACTAACCCAAACACTTTTACAGTGTTACATCTCCCCTTCTCCCCGAAATAAAGTTTTTGCAACACTGCTAAAGCAAGCTAGCTGTGTGCAACAACTTTATTAACGAAAAAAAAATACATCCTAGCTAAACAAATATACATCATCCTACTCTAAAAAATGAAATATATAGACAGACGTCCATTGTCTCTGGCTGGGCGACGTCACTGCTTGGTCTTGTAGATAATCCTGTACCACATTTCTTCAACACAACTGCCTCCGTCGCTTCTCCGTCGTTAACGCACAACAACCCTTGGTCAACCCGAAAGCCGTTACTACTTGAACTGCGCACAGGACCGTGGAATTCGGTTGTCCCAGCTGATCTGTAATTGGCCCTACGTCAGTCACCATGAGAGACGTATATTGGGGTTCTTCACAGCTATAGGGACTACAAGTTTCGAGACCTTCATATAGTTGCCAACAGTAGAAATCCCATCCTACTCTTCTTCCTCCCTGTTGCTCCAGCACGCCTCCTTCAGAGAGCTACTTCTGACAGCCACATCAAGTCCGCACGACACAGGAAGAATCATTCAACAGAGCAACATGCTTGCAGGAGGGGCGGCCAGTTAAGGCAAACGATCCTGTCTTGCAATTACGCTCCATGCAATGATGCTGACACCAGCAAGGAACACGAGGCATCGTGTCTCACTCAGCTTGTCTTATCTTCTTCTTCTTCTTTCTTTCTTTCTTCTCTCTCTTCTTCTTCTCTCTTCTTTCTTCTCTCTTCTTTCTTCTCTCTTCCTCCTCCTATGGGTCTTTGACAAGCGACCTGGGGTCCATTGGGGTCCGTCCGTCCTGGGGTCCATCCTGGGTAGACCGATGTTGGTGGGACCGACTGGAGTCGTTGTTGCTCCTCTTCCATCTTTACTGGGTCGTCTGGGGTCGTCTGCAGAACGACCTGGGGTCCACTGGGGGTCCGTCCGTCTTGGGGTCCCCTGGGGTCCGTCCGTCTTGGGGTCCCCTGGGTAGACCAATGTTGACCGACCGAGAGGGCTGCATCTTGGGGTCCCCTGGGGTGGTGGTGGTGGTGGTGGAGCCATGACCTCAGGTAGTGGGCTGGTCGTGGTGGTGTTAATAAACGCCCGTGAGTATGGTACACAGCAGCCGTCTCCCTCTTCTGTATATGCGTCGCGCCTCTCCTCTGGCTCCCACCTGTGGGTGAACATAAAGGCGACAATATCCGTGTTCCATCTTGTTGTGTGACCCTGTAGTTTGTATAGGGTTCACACAGTCCAATTATAAGCTCTCCTCCTGGCAACAACTACACTTAAATTTTAATAATCCAATTAACTCTGAATGATATTGACTTGGTGGAACATAAAACAGTAACAGAGGAAAGTTAGAGAAGAGAGAATAAGGTCATCACTACTTTTAACTTGTCACAAAAAAAAATCAACACTAATAGACAAAACGCTAGCCTAACTTAACTGTACCTTTCCTAATCTTAAGTACATAAATATCCATTACTCCCACCCTTAACCTACAGCCACCTACGTGACCCAGAGTGTTTCCCTAGCATCTCCGCCGGTCAACAACTCCAAACTGTTGCCACCCCTGTGACCAGACTATCTAACGTCGAGCGTCCCCAACGTGAAGTCTACTGACATACTAAGCCTCCCCCTAGTATGCTGTACAATACCAGTACACCTCGGGTTATTGCGTTCAAATGGAGTAAAAGAGTCGATCGCAATAATCTGAGCAGAACCACTACTTAAAAACTACACCTGCCACTCCCCACTGACCTGGAGACCAGCGGTGGCTGGGTGTCCCCGTGGGACATGCGAGGTCACCTGTCACACTCAGGTGACCTCCCCTACCAACACCGCTAAGTTCCCAAATCGCCAAATCTTATTACTAACATAAATCACTACACACGCAAGTTCTGGTGAACATTCCCTGAACTACACAAAACTCACAAAATCACTAAACACAACACCAGAGAATCACTATCTCCTAACCTGAAAAAAAGTTCGCTAACTCGCGAATAATAAACACCTGTCAAGATCTCCCTGATAGCGCCTGAGCGGCAAAAAGACACGTGGGACTGAACAATGTTAAAAGAACACCAACTACCTACAACATTGTTCAACACCGCTGCCAACATTGTAACGGGGGGTGGGGGAAATAGCTCTATCTTGTCCATTATTCCACCCCCCAGTTAACTAACGAGGCCGGGGGAAACAGCTCTCTCTAGTCCGTTATCCCGTCCCCAGTTAGCTAACTATTCTAGAGCACTCCCAGAGTTCCTAAGGCAACCTCTCTCGTTCAACACCTTGTAACCTAGGTATTTGACTACCTAGGTGCTAAGACTACAAGGCGCCGTAACTGGATCAGCTACCCGAAACTCTAGAGAGAACTCTAGAATACAGAATCATTGCCACAAACGTATAAGAGGAAACGAAAGGAAAGAAATGAATAGTGAAGTAATTAGTGAGGGTTTGGGGTGAGAGGTAGAGAGGTGGGAGGAGCGAGGAGGGTCATTAGTTGAAAGTGAGAGTTTAGAGAGGGGGTGGAGGGAGAGGTGTAGATAGGTAGAAGTAGAAGAGTAGATAGTAGAAGTAGAAGAGTAGATAGTAGAAGACGAAATGCTGCCACCATCCATTCATGATCATTACATACAAGACAAGGAATGGAACTTGTCTGTATCACAATATTCACCAAAGATGTTATCATGAGTTCATTATTAGTAGTTCCCATCTTTATCATGTACTCATTCTAAACCATGAAACCAGTAACCACAGAGGCTTTCTCACCTCAACTCAATTCTCTAGGGAACACAGTGAAAGACCATTTAAATAATAAATTCAACAATTATATTTTTCATGATAAGTATCATAACTTAAGCAATCCAATTAAAAATGTTAACGATTAATATTCAAAGTGAGTCATCATCCAAGAATTTGAGAACCCTACAACTTGACTGCCCCTGATCATCACACAACATATGTAAACACGACCAAGTCACCTCACTGTTCACTCACCGAGGACTGAGTCTAAGTTGAATAGAGAGGGGGGGGGGGGGGGGTCTGTAGCTGACAGAGACTCCCGCCCTGCCGGCCGACAGCCTCCCTGGTAGGGCTGTCTTCTCTGCTCTGCTCGTCTGCTGTTCTGTCTCGTTAATGCTTCATGCTGGATAGCTCTCCGAGTTTATATTGGGGAACCTAGTAGCTAACTCCGCCCACAAGTAGATAGCCTCCGGCACTACCAAGCCACTCCTTAAACGTCGGCATGTTTGAAGGCTACCCGGCTCCAATTATACGCTTAGCGGAAGCAAGGTGAAATTCTCATGATCTGACCTCAGGTCACTTGGGGTCATTAACGCTTTGAGGTGTGAGATCTCAGGCAGACAACTGGCGCCTCTCAGATCCTTGTCTGTGACTCATATTCTATATATATTTTAAATAAACTAACCCAAACACTTTTACAGTGTTACACCTCTATATCTTATGGCCGAGGCAAACCAATGGCCTCACCAACCGCAGACATCAAAGGTAGCTTACTTCTGCTTAATAATATGGTATCAGTAAAGAGTTATAAAGGTTTATGTAAACAAGTTAATGTCTGTAAGGGAAGACTTTTAAAAGTGAATGTGGATAAAAGTAGAGTTATGGCTATGGAATGATAAGGAAATTTAGTTTGATATTAGTGTGAATTGAAAAGTATTGGTTAAATACCTGGGGATGTGTGATTGACAAAAGATAAATTTATTCTCCAAGCCTGGCCCCGGGCCATGGCTTGCTAGTTCAACGGAAGGAACTAGATTCTAACAGAACTTTTTTAGACTCTATTAAGGGAATAGTACCAAATTCTACTATCTAACTGCTTAGTACGTCAATGTATGTACTATGGTGCACATAGTTATGAAAAGTACTACAGTATATAAATAGAAGGATGAGAGGTTTTGCTTGTAGTATCAGCAGTAATTGAAATGTTATAAGTGTTTATAAAGTGGACCTTAAAACACATTCAGTCATTAATGTAAGAGTGCAGACTGAAATATATGTATAGTTGAACAAATTAAATGAATCTTGCATTTGTACAGTTCAACCTGAAATGCGAGGGAGGAGTGGGACAGACGTGGACACACGCATGAGGCAGCAGCAGCAGCAACAGCAGCTTCAGCAGTCCAGTAACCTGTCGAGGTCCCGCTCTGCTCAGTCCCTGAAACAGTTGGCAGACCAGAGTTCAGCCGATGATAAGATGACTGTTAGTTTAGATTTTTGTGTTCGTAAGATTTGCTGGGGCCGAGCTGAAGTGAGATGTAGCACATCACTGTTGAATATTTGCAGCTCTGTTGTTTTGTTAGCTATTTTCTTTTATTGTATCATTTCAAATGTTCATCTGTATTCTAGCTAAAACTTTTAAATATTTTTTATACTTTTATTCCAGAAAAATTCAGTCAATTTTGCAACATCCCATCCATTATTTTCCAGTGCATAAATCAGTTTGCTGATGGATTGTGTTTAAAAATACATTTTAATGTAAATTTTAAAATGGTTTTAAGAATCTAACACGCATATAATTTTGTCGTTCAAACATTTCAAAGGCTTAACTTTTTTTTCAGGTTTTAGCACAGTTCTTTTGGATTGCAGTATCAATGCTGGAGTCTGACTACGAGTACGAGTTTATTTTAGCAATGAGGTTGTTAGACAAGGTGCTAGCTCGTCTCCCTCTTGATCGACCAGATTGTCGAGATAAGGTGAGGGTTTGGGTTTCAAAAGTTTGGGGTAAATGTATTTGTTAATGAAATACTGAGCAGTTGCAGTCAATTGACATGTTTGTTTTAGATTCAGCTACTTGGAACAAAAAACTCCAAGCAGCACGGACCATAGTGAGCCCTAGTGGACTTGTATACCAATTGATATTTGGTACAAAATACATTGCAGGTGGAGAAGTTGCAGCAACAGCTTAAGTGGAAGGAATTCCCCGGGGTTCATGCTCTGCTACTCAAGGGGTGTACAAGTACAACAACGTACGAGCCCACAATTACTCTTCTCTCTCGATTCACACAGCTCACAGATTTAATAGTAAGTCTTATTATTGTTAGTTAAATTTCTTAAAATTTATGCATGAGCTACATGTAACTGTGTGGTGTAAGACAAACAGTAAGGAATGAGGGTGTGCAAGTTGATACACAGCAAGATGGAGGAAGGTATATTAGGATAGCTTGTGTATGTTGATGGAATAGATGATAGCAGACAATTGAAGAGACTTTATACAAGTGAATATGAGGGTAGGAGTAGGAGAGGATAGCTAGGATGGGAAGTCACAGTGATTGAATGTGTTTGATGAGCAATTCACATTCCTTTCCACCTGATACCTCTTGTTTATGTAGAGTAAATAGGTACCCCGGGATTTAGAGAGCTGTTGTGGGATGCATCCTGGAAAAAAAAAAAGCCAGTCATTGGCCTAGGTGGACCTCAGTAAGCCCAACAGACTTCCTTTTCTTGACAATGGGGGAAACTAAATCCTGTACAAAGATATCTTGATATAAGAGACTTGTCATTCAGTAAGAAAAGAGCTAATGAATAAGTGTGAAACAAAGCATAATATATTACATAAATGTTTTATAAAAGGGAGTACAAACGTGTAGCACTGAAACATAATCATACTTGTTAGATTTGATTTATAATTTGTCTTTAATTCACTACAGTATGTTACTGAAGTGTTCACACGACACTTGGGATCACACTGAAGATGTCGTTGATTCACAGGCCTGGAAATATATTTTCTGACTCGTACCCCATTATGAGTAGGGACATAAATCAAGAGTTGAATCAAATAAAACACCATGTCTGGCATGCCAACAAGCTCCCAGTAATTATGTACTGGTATCACCGAACCTTAGGATCATGCCAGGCCTCTGAGATCCCAACTGACCTATTGAGATCTCGGAACAGAATCTCGATCTTTCAGCAAGCCACAAAAAAAAAAAAAATAGGGATCAGAGATCAGCCCAAAACTAAGGGAAATTGACCAGAAAGTCAGACAAGACAGAACAAACCACTGATCGAAAAAAACAGCATTGAATGTAATGAAATGCCATTTTCTGAGTGAACCCTGGAGGCTTCCTGAAGCTATCTGACCTGATATGTGCTACATTACTTTGGGTCATCAGTCACAGGAGTCCTTATGACGACTGGAGACCATGAGCCAGAACCTGGCCCCCTCAGAGAGGCGTAGGGAACAATGGCCTATGAGCACTTTACATTTAAAGTATTTCATACTTGCCATCGACCGAGGAAGGACCTAGAAAGGAAGCAAATAAAAATAGACCACTGGTTAACCTGTGCAATCTACATGTGGTGGTGCTAACCGGAGCTGGCAGCCCCACCACTCCAGTTCTTGAATGATGAAAACTGCCGACCGAAGGGAGAGAGGGTGTCAGGGAGCCTCTGGGGCTCACCCAGAAAATGGCATTTCAATTAATTCAACGCTGGTTTTCTGTGGGGAACCCCGTTGCCTCCCTGAGGCTAACTACCCAAAAATAAGTAAAAGGAGGGGACTTACCTGGGAGACGGCAGCACCACAAGTCCTCCTCAAGACAAGGAAGAGACAGACGGCTACAACAGGAGCCGCAAAGCCACATACGGCTGGGAAGGAACCGGAACGTGCATGAGATACCTGGCAGCCAGGACTATTTGACTCTCAAAACCCCTGCGCCTGAATGTGGACCCAAGACATGTTGCTAAAATCTGCTGCGAGAGCTGCAGACTTTCTAACATCATGAGCACAAGGGTAGACCGCAGGCTGGCTAGACTTGATGACACTGTGGACAACCTGAGACACACGATCCCTGGAACAGGGAACCAAGGAAACCGGATCCACCCAGAGCGCATCCATCGGCACAGAACTCATTTCCCTCAGGTAGCAGCGTAAAGCTGCCACCAGACACAAAACATGACACCCCCCGGCCTAACCAATCAAGCATCCACAACCAATGGACCCCTCCAGAAGCCAGCTGTCTCATTCTACGCCAGAAAAGAAGAAGGCTGGAAATGAACAAAACGACCACCTGGACCAAGCAAACAGAACCCCCAGCATCGGAGGAGAGCATGAAGCTCCCCAACCTGACCCCTAGAGGCGAAAGCCAACAAAAACAAGGCCTTTCAAAAGCAATCCCGAACCGAAGGGGGCCACAATGAAGTAAAGAAAAGAAAGAAAAGAAAGAACATGGTCCAAAGGTCAAGAAGGCTCATGTGACACATGAGCAGGCCAGAGGTAATAAAATGCATGAGAAAGCTAGGAAAAGGGAGCTGAAGTAACATCCACCCTGAATGCAAGCAACAGCAGTTCTACCAACGTCACATGATATTGAACAACAGTAAAAGGCATGATATGCCGATTCAGAAAAAGCCAAGAGAGAAACGACACAACAACCTTGTTCGAAATCGATGAAAACCGACGAAGAGAAAGAAAATGATGGAAAGACCACCAAGAAACTTCATACTGTCGCTGAGAAGAAGACCACAGGTGGGACACCATCAAAGAAGCCCTCTGATCACCATACAAATGTCAATATACACGCATCAGAAAAACCAAACTGCATAGTGCGAAGCAGGAAGGCGAACCAGCGAGGTACCTCACTGACCTAACCTGCTGAAAGAGGCGGAGCTTCAGAAAACCGACCGGGTTCAGACACCGAGCAAGCAGCACCTGAAACCAAGACTGGGCCGGCTACCATGAACCTAGGAGAACCACTCGCACCTGAGATGAATCGAGCCAAGCCAGAACTCAAAGCAACAGAGGGAAGAGGTATAAGAACCCCCACCTCGACTAATCCTGCCAAGAAGCATCTACTGCAATCCTTGCAGTTGGGAAAAGGCGCCACATACTATAGAATCTACCGAGAGCCTCCCGGGCATTTTTAGGCAATGCTGTAGTCACAAGCTGATCAGCAGTGCTGTTAGCTCATGCCGCTTGTGCCAGTCTTGGTTGCTCACTGTGTACCGAGGTTCTCACACCTGGGAATGGTACCCATGATTTTTTGTTTAAATGGTGTCTGTTTACTAGAGCTCTGAGGAGCTAATGTGAACCCCATGTAGCCACATGACTTTTAAGTCTTACGCGGTACATTAAAAAGTATATATACAATATAAGAACATAAGAACAAAGGCAACTGCAGAAGGCTTATTGGCCCATACGAGGCAGCTCCTATCTATAACCACCCAATCCCACTCATAAACATGTCCAACCCGCACTTGAAACAATCGAGGGACCCCACCTCCACCACGTTACGTGGTAATTGGTTCCACAAATCAACAACCCTGTTACCAAACCAGTATTTACCCAAGTTTTTCCTAAATCTAATTTTATCCAACTTATACCCATTGTTTCGTGTTCTGTCTTGTGTTGATACTTTTAATACCCTATTAATATCCCCTTTGTTGTGTCCATTCATCCACTTGTAAACCTCTATCATGTCACCCCTAACTCTTTGCCTTTCTAGTGAATGCAATTTAAGCTTTGTTAGTCTTTCTTCATATGAAACATTTCTAATTTGGGGAATTAACTTAGTCATCCTACGCTGGACACGTTCAAGTGAATTTATATCCATTCTATAGTACGGCGACCAAAACTGAACTGCATAATCTAAATGGGGCCTAACCAAAGCAAGATATAGCTAAAGAACCACACCAGGTGTCTTGTTACTAACGCTTCGGTTAATAATTCCCAGTGTCCTATTTGCCTTATTACAAACATTCAGGCATTGATCCTTTTATTTTAAATTCTTACTAATCATAACTCCCAGATCCCTTTCGCAATCCGACTTCGCAATCTCATCACCATCTAGCTCGTATCTAGTAACTCTATCATCATTACCTAGCCTCAGAACTTTACATTTATCAGCATTAAACTGCATCTGCCAATCTTTTGACCATTTCAAAACCCTATTTAGATCAACTTGAAGTGATAGTGAGTCTTCTTCCATGTTAATTTCCCTACCGATTTTTGTATCTTCTGCAAATTTGCAGATGTTGCTACTCAAACCTGAATCTAAATCATTTATATATATTATAAACAACAGAGGTCCCAGGACAGAGCCTTGAGGCACTCCATTAACAACATTATCCCACTCTGATTTAACCCCTTTTATACTAACTCTCTGTTTCCTTTGGAATAGCCATGCCCTAATCCAACTTAATATAGCACCCCCAATACCATGAGCCTCTATTTTTTTAATCAGTCTTTCATGTGGCACTGTAACAAAAGCTTTGCTAAAGTCAAGGTACACAACATCACAATCCTTACCACTATCAACTGCCTCAACTATGCTGGAATAAAAAGATAGAAAATTTGTTAAACATGAACGGCCATTTGTAAAACCATGTTGCGATTCATTTATTAATTTATGTTTTTCAAGATGAAGACGAATTGTATTTGCAATTATTGATTCAAGTAACTTTCCCACAATAGACGTTAGGCTAATTGGCCGATAGTTTGACGTAAGTGATCTATCTCCTTTCTTAAAATTTGGTACCACATTAGCTACCTTCCATGACTCTGGCACTCTGCCTAACTATATTGATTTATTAAATATGGTAGACAATGGCTCGGAAAGCTCCTCTTTGCATTCTTTAAGCACCCTGGCAAACACTTCATCCGGTCCTGGGGATTTGTTTGGTTTAAGTTTTACTATTTGTTTAATTACATCCTCCCTAGTAACTGCTAAACTAGTCAACTTATCCCCATCCCCACCCACATATATTTGTTCGGCTGAAGGCATATTGTTAAGTTCCTCCTTAGTAAATACAGATATAAAATATTTATTAAAAATACTACTCATCTACTCGTCATTATCCGTTATTTAACCTGTCTCGGTTTTTAATGGACCTATCCTTTCTCTAGTCTTAGTTCGATATAACTGAAAAAACGTTTAGGATTTGTCTTCGCTTGCCCTGCTATGCGAACTTCGTAGTTTCTTTTTGCTTTACTTATCTCTTTTTTTTAACATTTCTAACCAGTTGTATGAATTCCTGTTCTAAACTAACTTCTCCATTCTTAATCCTTTTGTACCACGCTCTCTTTTTACCTATAAGGTTCTTCAGATCCTTTGTTATCCACTTTGGATCATTAGTATTCGATCTATTCAATTTATATGGTATACTACATTCCTGGGCTTTGCTTAGAATATTTTTAAATAGGTTATATTTTGAATCCACATCGAAATCCTCTTTTCCGTCACCTGTCGCTGGGTTCACTCTGGCTTGCGCTGTGCATGAAGTTAAACCAAAATTGTTTACATACAATTATTGCCGTTCAAGGAGGAGATAGCTCCACACATGATTCATGTCAGCCCTTCGAATCATTAATAGCCTTTCAGAGACCAGAGACATTACCTAGGATTCCCACCCCCTCACAGAGTCACAGTGATCAGGGGATCTGAAGATTATGCTAAAGTTGCAGAGACTTCTCAAACACCATTGTTACTCTTAACATTCTTATAGTGTGTTTTACATTCCTTAAATTAAAAGGTTTCATTCAGGCTATTTGAGCACTACAATATCTTTTGACTGTGCAATATGGTTACTAGTTTTAAGGCTTAATGTTTCCTTCTAAGAACATTGTTTTTTATTAAAATCCTTAATACTCTGTGTTTTATGTACAGGTTGTCGACCCAAGCCAGAGTCGTGCATTTGCCATCAATGTGATTGCTTTGCTCCCATACATGTTGCAGAACTATGAAGATGCCAATTCCCTCTGTATACAGGCAGCAGAAAATATTGCACAGGTAAGAACAACTGGGTGTTTCCTCTTCATCTCTAGACTTGCCGTTGTCTTTTAGGCTTTTGCCCTTTTCCTTTTTGGGGGGAGCCCCTACGGCTCCCCAGAGCTTAGTAGGCTGATATGCTAATGTCAGACTTTGGCATCAGTCATGTGTATGGAGTTCTTATGGGCATACCGGGGACCACGAGCCAGAACCTGGCCCCCTCTAGAGAGGCAAGGGGAGCAATGGCTTATAGAAACCCCCGTGTAATTGGAAGCATTCTATGTCTGCCATCAACTGGGTTAGGCACCCAGAAAGGTAGGCATCCCAAAACAAACCCCTATTCTGGTGAAAATTGCAACCAAAAGCCGAACGAGTGGATAGAACTCCCCAAACAAAAATGAGCAAACTAGTATGATGTCATCCGTCGTCGTGCCGCTGTTTGCGCAGCCCCCCCTCCCCGGGAGGGGAAAGGGGCAGCCCCAGACCTACCGCGCCGGCGATCCACACCCCAGTTCTTAAGGCTGATGCTATCGGCTCGATTGTGTGCTCTGGCTCCAGTATTTTTGCAGCGCTGTGCCCTGTGTGTGTGGGTGCTGTACTCCAGGGATGCGTGAGCCAGGAGTTATTCCTCGGTACTCAGGCTGCATGCGCCTAGGGTTTCCTTCCCTAGGTGCCTTGTAAGTACTGCCCTTGGAGCTTCGGGTTACCTTCCACAAGTTCCTTGGGGTCTGCCTCTGTGTGTCCATTTTACTGCTCGGTTTCTCGGCCGCTCGTTGGGTACTTGGGGGTTTTGTCTCCCCTAGTTAACCTTAGGGTAGGAGGCAGTTTTCGCACTGGTAGGGGTGCAGGGTGCTGTGCAGCTAGTTGTCACCTATCACAGCGGCCGGCTCTGTTCCTTGGGGTACATTGTCCTCTTGCGGGGTTTTGTTTTTCTTTTTGTTTTTGCTGTGGTGGGGGGGTTCTGCCCTATTTGCCACTTGTGTTTGACCTCACCCTGATACATGGTGGTTCCCCCTGCTTGATCCCCGTGAGTATACACGTCCCTGGGGTTCAGCTTTAAACAGTTAGTTTGGTAGTTTTGGGCGCTGGTTAGCAGTACCCTGCCTGGGTTTACCTGAGTGCGAGTCCTCTTCAAGTAAAAGCTCAGGACCCTGGGAATCCCCAAGGGGACGCGTGGGTCTGATGGATGTGACCCCAGGGTCCCCCCTCGTTTCGTGCGAGTTTGAGGATTGTTCGGTCCCCTTGTCTCAGGGCGACCCTCACTGTTTTTGCCTCCGTCATGCACCCTGTTGGGTTGGTGACACTTTTGACCCTGAGTCCTGTGAGTATTGTTGCTTGCTGGTGACTCAACTTACCCAATCTATGGATGATCATCTTCAGGTACAGGCTGCACAGGCGTTGCATTCTAGGTTTCGGTTGTTGCAATGCGCTAGGTTGGTTGCTCACCAAGTCGCCCCGCAGCTGCCCCGTTTTGCTTACAGGGACCCGGACTTGGGGGTCGGGGTCGCTTCGACCTTGGTTCAGTCCACATCTCCTGGTTCTTCCCCTCCTGTTGTTCGTTCTGGTCCCCCTCCCCTGCTTCCGGCCCCGAAACGTCTCAGGGTTTCGGAGTTGGGGCAGGGGTTAGTTGGTCTTGAGACTCGGGCAACCTCGGGGGATGCCCCTTCTGGTGTGGCAATGGGGGCATTCGAGTCTCCTTCCCCGGCCGAAGCCTCTGGGTCTGACCAGTGGGCCTCATTCTATCCGGCTTCTACGGCTGCGCCGGCCTTGTCTAGTGGGGTCAGCGCTTGGGGGGGGGGGAGGACCCTGTGGCTGGGGAGGGGCTGACTTGGGGGCCTTGGGCTCCGCTGGACCCCGCCTGGGTTTTTCTACCCTCTGAGCGTGGCTTACTGTTACAAGGAGTGGGGTTTTCTTTTCCGCCCCCTGCATACGAGTTGGATTTGGTGTCTGTCCCTCCCCTGGTTCGGTTCCGTGTTCCCCCCGGGTGCTTCGGTTCCATCTTTCCAGAGGTTTTTGGCTTATCGCATCTTACCTGCTGTGGTGCGGGCAGCCCTTGCGGCAAACCTTCTGCATGACCCGGATTATGCCTCAGCAATGAATGATTTTCGATCTGGAAGATCCTGTGTATCGAATTTACTCAGTTTCTATGATTAAGCCACAGAGATTTTACAGGAAAGAGAAGGTTGGGTTAACTGCATCTATCTGGACCTAAAAAAGGCTTTTGATAGAGTTCCACATAAGAGATTGTTCTGGAAACTGGAACATATAGGGGTGACAGGTAAGCTTCTAACATGGATGAAAAATTTTCTGACTGATAGAAAAATGAAGGCAGTAATCAGAGGCAATGTATCAGACTGGAGAAATGTCACAAGTGGAGTACCATAGGGATCAGTTCTTGCACCGGTGATGTTCATTGTCTACATAAATGATCTACCAGATGGAATACAGAATTATATGAACTTGTTTGCTGATGATGCTAAGATAATAGGAAGGATAAGTATATGGAGCACCACTTGGCAAATGGAATTTAATGTGAATAAATGCCATGTTATGGAATGTGGAATAGGAGAACATAGACCCCACCCAACCTATATATTATGTGAGAAATCTTTACAAAGTTCTGATAAAGAAAGAGATCTAGGAGTGGTTCTAGATAGAAAGCTATCACCTGAGGACCACATAAAGAAGTTTGTGCGAGGAGTCTATGCTACACTTTCTAACTTCAGAATTGCTTTTAAATACATGGATGCAGAAATACTAAAGAAATTGTTCACGACTTTTGTTAGACCAAAGCTGGAATAAGCAGCAGTTGTATGATGCCCATATCTTAAGAAGCACATCAACAAACTGGAAAAGGTACAATCACATGCCACTAAGTGGCTCCCAGAAATGAAGAATAAGAGCTATGAGGAGAGGTTAGAGGCATTAAATATGCCAAAATTTGAAGACAGAAAAAAAGAGGTGATATGATCACCTCATGATGTGATGTACACCTCATGATCACCTCATGATATGATGTACAAAATAGTAACAGGAATTAACAAAATTGATAGGGAAGAATTCCTGAGACCTGGAACTTCAAGAACAAGAGGTCATAGATTTAAACTAACGAAACAAAGCTGCCGGAGAAATATCAGAAAATTAACTTATGTAAACAGAGTGGTAGACGGTTGGAACAAGTTAAGTGAGAAGGTGGTTGAGGCCAAAACCGTCAGTAGTTTCAAAGTGTTATATGACAAAGAGTGCGGGGAAGATGGGACACCATGAGCATAGCTCTCATCCTGTAACTACACTTAGGTAATTATCTGTTGTCAGACTTGTTGGTCCTTCAGGGGTCCCGGGAAGTTCCTCCTAGACGGGGCATTTTGGCTCGCCCGGGTTGGTTCTTTCCCGGCTTGCCGGGTTTGGGTTCCGGTTTTCCTAGCTTACCCTGCCAGTTAGCACTTTCCTGATCTCGCGGTGTCACTTCTCACGAGTCATGCTTCAGAACTGCGGTGTCTCAGCTCTCCTGACGAGCTCACTAACATTGGGAAGTTTTCCGTACGGCAGACGTTCCGTCTGGTTCCTTGGCGGCTTGGGTTTCCGGCTCAGCTTGCTCAGGGGTCGCACTCAAGGTTCTCCCATGGCTCCTCCTCTTCCTATGCTCGCTCAGTTCATGGCTGGGGCTGGTTCAGTTCTGCCTCTAGTCTCTCACCATCTGTTGGTGTTCGAGTGGTTTTGTTGATGGTGTCCCACCTGCATGCTTCATCTTGGCGGCGGTGTGGGTTTTTTTGGCGGTCCTTCCTTTTTCTTTTTGTCCCTTCATAGGTTTGCTGCGTTTTGTTGGTGTGGTTTTGTCCTTCTCTTGTGGAGGTTCAGGGGCCATCATCTTGCCACATGCTGTCGCCTTCTCTCTCGTCTCGTGCAGCGCTGGTGGAGCCGCTCCGGGTTGCTTCGGTTTTGGTGTTCCCTCTGCACCAATTCGCGAGCTGTCTCTGGCGTGGTTCACCTCCAGCCTGCTCTTGTGCTGCTTGCGCTGTCCTGGTTCTTGAATTGGGTGCTCTCTTCTCTTCTCCTCGGTTTGTTGTGACCCCTTCAGTTCTGAATTGTTTTCCAAGGCTCCTTTCTTATTGGCGTTGGCCTCTGGGAGTCGGTTCGGGGTGCTTAATGCTCTCCTCCAGCACCAAGGTTTTCGGCTCTTTTGGTCCTCGTGATAGGTTTGTTCGCTTCCAGTCGTCTCCTTCTTTTCTGGCAAAGACTGACACAGCTACTTTCCAGAGGGGTCCTTGGGTTGTTGATGCTTGGGTGGTCTGGCCGGAGGTGCATCATGTGTTGTGTTCGGGTTGCGGCGCTTCTCCGTTCTTTGCGTGCCACGGCTGCCGTGCCCGGGGTCACGCTTTGGATTGTTCCGATTTCCCTTCTTCCCTGTTCCAGGGTGCAGGTTCTTTCATGTTGTCCACGGGGTGGTTCGGTTCAGCCACTCTGCAGTCTATTCCCCGTGCCCATGACGTTCGTCGGTTGGCTACCCATTCCTTCGTTGATGTTCCTGGGCCTTGTCTGGCCTGTTTGACCTTGGGTTGGTGGTTGCAGTGTTTTGTCTCCGCTTTGCGTTGTGGAGTGTGTGACGTCCGCCTCCTGGGTTAGGTCCCTCTTGTTTTTGCCTTGGGGTAGGTAGCTCCTGGGAGCTGACGGGGCTCACCCCAGAAAACCCGGCAACCCTCCCTCCCTCCGGTCAGCGGTTTTTCGCGTGTTTTGATATCCAGCCTCAGAACTGGGGTCTTGGGTGGCCGTTACGAGGGATCTGGGGCTCCCCTTTCCCCCTCCCAGGGAGGGGGGAGCTGCGCAGATGGCGGCGCGGCGACATGGTGAGGTCATGCTCGTTGGCTCCATTTTATTTTGGGAGTTCTGTCCACTAGTTCGGCTCTCAGTAGCAATTTCTTAACCAGAATAGGGGTTTGTTTTGGGGTGCTTACTTTTCTGGGTGCTTGACCTGGTCGATGGCAGACATAGAATGCTTCCAACCACACGCGTTTCTATAGGCCATTGCTCCCCGTGCCTCTCTGAGGGGGGCCAGGTTCTGGCTCATGGTCCCTGGTACGCCCACAGAACTAAATACACATGACTGATGCCAAAGTCTGACATTAGCATATCAGCGCAGATAGCTCCGGGGAGCCTCCGGGTCTTCCCCAGAAAATGGCGTTTCATTACATTCAACGCTGGTAGTTTCTGCCCTTGGGTGGGTTGCTTTTGTCTTTTTTATGATTTCTTTAAGCATTTCCCTTCTGAATATTTTAATGTAGCTTAAATTAGCACAATTTTTTGTTACTGATATTTACTTTATAAATAGTAAAATGCTTTGCTTGTAACCCCACAGATTCCTAGTTTGGTAGGAAGAAAAAATTATAGTTTTTTTTTTTTTACCCTTTAGGTTTGCAATGAGAAAGGAAAAGAGCTGGAAAATCTAGCAACTGTTATGACTTTGTACAGTCGCCGCAACTTCAGCAAGGAAAGCTTTCAGTGGACGAAATGTGTTGTTAAATACCTCCATGACTCGTACGCAAATCTTTCACTAAGTCTCATGGCATTTCTTGTTGAGGTAAGATGTTGTTTTGTTTTTTCACCTGTAGTCTTTGTGTTTCTTCCCATTATTGACCAAAGCAATATGGTTAACTAGATACAATGTAACCAGACACCTTCGAACCAAGATTAGACAAAAAACGCATTTTGATAAAAAAAAAAAAAAAACTCTCTCTCATCATGTAAGCAAAATTAGAAACATTAATATTCTGTTGTCCAAGTGCTTCTCAAACTACTTTGATTTGGTGGACTGTCAGTTTTTTTCCAGCGTGGGAGGGACTAGTACCATATGTTTCCATATCTTATGTGCATAGAAAAACAACATTCTTGTCTATTAATATAAATGTGAGTGTGTGTGTGCTAAGTGTGGCATACTTGTAGATATCTTCCCCATTTAAATATAGTGAATGCAAGGCTCTGCCGGTAGTATAAAATTGCTTCTTTTCTATTCATTATCCAGGAAAATAATATTTGTACATTCATTGTAATATTAAATTTATATAAAATAATATACTGTACTGTAATTTAAGTTGCTAGACATTTCATATTTTATGCTTACTTTCTAAACAAGTAATAGGGGCTTCTTGATAAAAATCTAGTGTGATTTTAAAATTTTGTCAAATATTTTTGTCGAAACTCACTGACCCACCATTGGTCCACCGACCACCACATTGAGTAGCACTTCTTTATACTGTACGTGTAAAATGGTTAAATAGTATATAATATGAATTACAATTCCTGCAAAAATAGAGCTTCGATTATATAGTAATTAAATCCCTCATTTTGGGGCTCCACTCCTAAGGACTCATCTAAGCTTATACTCTAGCACCGCAGGGTCAACACCATCTGGCCAGACATCTAAGACTTATGGCTTACTGGAAGCAAGGGGACTAGAATTCTGCCCGTCACAGAGATGAGGAAGCCGAGGATGTCACAAGACACCACACACACCGAGGGGAAATGGCAAAAACTGCAGAAAGAGGGTCACAAAAATTCAAAATGCTCATAGAAAAATTTGTATACATGAATACCAAACTAAACTTGAAACTTTCCCAAATAATGAAAATACCAACTGGCTACTTCTCCCCTCTTCCATTTCCTCACTCTTGAACCCAAGCAGATGCCTAGAACCTATGGGTAAGCAAGGACAATAGGGCAGGCAAAAGGAAGCCAGTGAGTGGGCCCCCCAAAAAAGGGCATTTAAAACTATAAATAAATTCTGTTTTGGGAATGGCCCAATTAATGGCTTCCCAGAACTTCCTCCCTCCTACATAACCCTAATAAATATGGCTTCCTGAAAGAACAATATGTATAAATGGAGAAAAGAAAAACTTAATGTGGGCTTTAACGTAGATGTTATGGATGTCAAACCCAGGTGTTGTACGAGACGCACTCAGGAGCAGCAATCTGAAGGCGAAAAAGTGCATAAAGTTCACAAACCTGGTACTGTAACCAGGAGCCAACAGAAAGGCCACTTCCAGAAACAAGTCCAGAGAAAATGAAGGCCAATGATATTGATGAGAATACAGAAACAAAAGAAAATGATCCATAAACCATGAAGGTTCTGGTTGGGAATGATACAGCCAGAGGTGAATAAATACCAAAACAACTTAACAATTGGAGATGAGAGAGATTCACCTCAAATGTCAATAAGAGAGGCTCCAACAAGGCCAAATGGTAGGGGACTTAGGCATCAAGTAGAGGTCCTTGACCTGCCACAACAAAAGAGATAGAACCACGGGAACAGAGACCAAAGAAACAGTGAAACTAAAGAAAGAGGTGAAAGCCTGACAAACCACCTCATACACTTCTCATCGTCTCTTTCGGACACTTCGGGCCCAACTGTGATTGGATAAGTAGTCGTGTCTGGATAAGTAGTCAAATTCCCCACAGGTACGAAAAATAATAATTTCATGTTCTAAAGGACGTAACAGTATATTATTGTTTGACTATATACTGCAAACAAAACATCATGAAATATTGGTACAGTACAGTAACAGTGCTAACAATAAATATGGGCACTCACAAAGTGTCCAAATGTTTCTCCACATTAAATCTTGGAATGATGGATTGGTGAGGATGTTAATTAATAAATCACTTTGGCCCGGTAATGACGCAGCATTGCGTGATTTCCGGCGGCAAATTAGCGACGGTTTCGGGAAGGGTGCGCCGCAGTTTTGGACATTATATGCATACACGCCTGTAGGGAATTTCATTGCGAATACAATGATACCAAAATGAAAGATCTAGGACCAGAATTGTGGTAACAAAGTTGAAAGGAGTATACCCATTTTATTGCTCTTTATTAGTGCTCATTGCGGTAATGCCCCGTCACGTTCTCTGTTTGCTGTGGGTGGGACGCCGGGGTTTTGGACTTTATATTTGCATATACTCCTGTAGGGAATTCTTTTGCGAACACAATGATACCAAAATGAAAGATCTAGGATGAGAATTGAGATGTCTAAAGTGCAGAGTGTGTTCACATTTTATTGCTCTTGCACGCTCTCACTTTCTCGCCGGGCTTTTGGGCTTCATATGCATTTAGTCCTGTAGAGAATTCTATTGCGAACACATTGATACCAAATTGAAAAACCTAGGACGAGAATTGAGATGACAAAGTTGAAGAGAGTATACACATTTCGGTATGACCGCGCGCTCTATTGTAATGAGAGGCGCCTTGGGGTGGTGTAGCGCTCTCTTTCTGGTAACTTTCATCTTGTCGGCGGGTGGAACGTGCCGCTGTTTTTGACATTATATGCATATATTCCTGTTGGGAATTCTGTTACAAACACATTGATACCAAAATGAAAGACCTAGAATGAGAATTGAGGTGACCAAAGTGAAAGGCGTGTACACATTTTATCTGTCTTGCGCACTCCCGGGTAACACGCTCTCACTTTCTCTGTTTGTTGTGGATGGTACGCTGGGCATTTGGACTTTATATGCCATAAATCCTTTAGAAAATTTTATTGCGAACACAATGATACCAAAATGAAAGACCTAGGACAAGAATTGAGGTGACCAAAGTGAAGGGAGTGTAAATATTTTATCGCTCTTGAACCATGCTCCCGGGAAACACGCTCTCATTTTCTGTGCTTGTTGCGGATGGTACGCCGACCGTTTGGACTTTATATGCCTTTAGATCTATAGAGAATTCTATTGCGAACACATTGATACTAAAATGAAAGACCTAGGACGAGAATTGAGGTGACCAAAGTGAAAGGAGTGTACACATTTTATCGGTCCTGCGCGCTCCCAGGTAACATGCTCTCACTTTCTCTGTTTGTTGCGGATAGTACGCTGGGTATTTGGACTTCATATGCCTTTAGTCCTGTAGAGAATTCTATTGCAAACACAATGATATCAAATTGAAAAACCTAGGATGAGAATTGAGGTAACAAAGTTGAAAAGATTATACACTTTTCAAAATTACCGCGCGCTCCCGCGAAATGCCCAAACCCATCCGGGGTAGTGTGACGCATGTGCGCCCAGAACATCAAAGTGTTAATTGAGGGTGGAGATAGATGTTGAGGGTTACACAGAGAAGGAACACAAGAGGCTTCAGTTCGTCTCTTCTTGGAAGATCTCTCAAACGTTTTGTTTAGTGTTAATTGCCTCAAGACATCTCTGCATTTTTTGAAAACTGTGTAAAATCTATAAAATGCCATCAGACATTGAGGATTGACATCAGATCATCTCTCCATGAACTTTAAAATGGTTTCAAAGCTCTTTTCTACCTCTGCCATGCTTGCTTGAGTTACTTTGTCTTCCTCATCCATCTCTGAGGAATGTTCTGAATCCTGCAAATTCCCCTTGCTATTTTCTGTCACCAAAATAATGATATTATCAGACATGCTTGGTGCAGTAGGACCATCTCGATCACACTCAATCCATGCATCAACTTCTTCCTCAAGATCGGCTGTGATGAATTCATTTCTCAGGTGTCAGGACTGATTATTTATTTATTTAACATAGGCCAGGAGTTCTTGTCTTAATTTCTTTATCTCGCTGATTTTCTTTCCACCAAATCCTTCAAAATCGGCAGCCTTGTTGGCAAGAAACAAACCAGCAGCAGGCTAAAGTTTGTACCAGGCATGTTTCAAGGTTGATTGCTTAACCATTTCTCATGCATGTGTAATACACCACACAGCTGACTTAATAGTAAATGTTTTCATAAAGTCCTTGATGATACCATTCTTTGCTTGGAGTTGTCTAGCGAACTCAGTTCTGAAGTTAAGTTTGAGGTTCCAGATTATTCCTTGGTCACTGAAATAATTTTGGTCTATGGAATCTTGAGATGATTGGAATGGTCAGAGTTTCACCATGGATTCTGAGAGAATGTGCACCTGAGCTCAGCATTCCACTTCAACTGATTTTTCAGGCATCAGTGAGTACAGGAGTCATAGCACATGTGTGGACAAAGGCTAATATAGTTCCAATCTACAAAAGGGGCAGCAGGGAAGACTCATCCAGTTATAAACCTGTATCATTGACAAGTGTAATAGTCAAAAATATTGGAAAAAATAATTAAAACTAAATGAGTAGAACACCTAGAGAAAAATGGTATAATAACAGACAGACAGTATGGTTTTCAGTCTGGAAGATCCTGTGTAACAAATTTACTCAGTTTCTATGATCGAGCCACAGAGATTTTACAGGAAGGAGATGGTTGGGTTGACTGCATCTATCTGGACCTAGAAAATGGCTTTCGACAGAGTTCCACATAAGAAGTTGTTCTGGAAACTGGAACATACTGGAGGCATTTAACATGGATGAAAAATCTCCTAACTGACAGAAAAATGAGGGCAGTAATCAGAGGCAATTTATCGAACTGGAGAAATGGCACAAGTGGAGTACCCCCAAGGTTCAGTTCTTGCACTGGTAATGTTCATTGTCTATTTAAATGACCTACCAGATGGAATACAGAATTATATAAACATGTTTCCTGATGATGCTAAGATAGGGGAAGATGTGAAACTTAGATAATTGTTGCGACCATCAAGAAGACCTGGACAAAATAAGTATATGGAGCACCACTTGGCAAATGGAGTTTAATGTGAATAAATGTCATGTTAGGGAATGTGGAATAGGAGAAGATAGACCACAAACAACTTACAAATTATGTGAAAAATCTTTAAAAAATTCTGATAAAGAAAGAGATCTAGGGATGGTTCTAGATAGAAAATTATCACCTGAGAACCACATTAAGAACATCGTGTGAGGAGCCTGTGGTACACTCTCCAATTTCAGAATTGCTTTTAAATACTTGGATGATGAAATACTAAAGAAATTGTTCAGGACCTTTGAAAGACCAAAGCTGGAATGTTGTATGGTGCCCAAATCTTAAGCAGCACATTAACAAACTGGAAAAGTTGCAAAGACATGCTACTAAATAAATCCTTCAGCTCCCAGAACTGAGGGATAAGAGCTATGAGGAGAGCTTATAGGCATTAAATATGCCAAAACTGGAAGATAGAAGAAAAAGAAGTTATATGATGACTACATACAAAATAGTAACAGGAACCGTTAAAATTGATTGGTAATAATTTCTGAGACCTGCAACTTCAAGAACAAGAGGTCATAGATTAAAATTAACTAAATAAAGCTGCTGAAGAAATGTAAGAAAATGCACTTTCACAGAGTGGCAGAGGGTTGGAACAAGTTAGGTGAGAAGGTGGTTGAGGCTAAAACCATCTGTAGTTTCAAAGTGTTATAAAACATAGGGCTGGGAAGACGGGACATCACAAGCATAGCTCTCATCCTGTAAATACACTTAGATAATTTCAAGTCTAGCTACCTGGGTAATGGCAGAGCCTTGAAAAGGCACTCCATACAATAAGGAGAAGCCAAACCTGAGACAAGAGATAAATTAAATTCCATCAGCTTTAATCCGGGATAAAAGCATCCAACCGCAACAGTGTTGCGATCTAGAAATAGGGTGACATACACGGGAAAGCTGTTAATTCCATGCAGAGTAATTGTCCATTTGCTGGTAACAAAATATCTCGCATGCACAATGGCAAGGTACATAATCCACAGACCAATCTGTCGACATCCGACCAAAACAGGAGAAGCCATCTGCAAGCACATTCCTGTATGCAGAAATACCTGTGGGAAAGCAGAGAATGAATCTACCTCAGTTGGTGATGGAGAGTACTAGAACTTCTCCATGTGGAGTATAATATCCTCATTGCCATGTAGCAAGGTCCAAGAAGGATTAGATTATGCCCAAGTAATTGCTCAAGGCAACTTCCTTAGCATTATCATATGGAGAAGATAAATGTTCCAGGGTCGATTCAAGATTTCTGTGAGATGCCGGCAAAGCAGATAGGGCATCATCCACAGATTGCATCCCCATGCTGTTAGACCCTGTAAACTAAAGGGCCAAACAAGAAAAATGGTACCTGTGCAAGAAATTCAGACATAGTGTCTCAGCATAAATACTGGGCAGGGCAACTCAGAGAACGGCCCCAAACACCCGCTGCCCTGACAGGGAAGAAGGCCCCAATACCTAGTGTACTTCAAAACCTTCATCCATGAAGTTGGAAAGAAAGCCTGGCATGTTATCACCAAGCACCTTGGTTATCCCAAAGTAGGAGCGAGCTGAAAAAGTGGGATGCACCTATATGCACCAAGTGCATATAGAATATCAAATCTCTACCTATAGACGATGAGCCACAATAATGTGGTCAACATTCTTCAGCCACATTATTGTGACTCAGCATCTGCATGAGGCTGAAGATATAATGATCAAACCACACTTCAAAAGTTGATTAAATGATGATGTTTCGGTCCGTCCTGGACCATTATCAAGATGTGTGTGAGTGGTTGTCTCTTTTGGTTGTCAAACTCATCACTCACTCAAACACAACTTGTTTTGGTCCATCCTGGACCATTATCGTCATCCTTTTTCATCTTCTGATGTGGTTTAGTCAATCTCTTACCCTCAAGCCACAATGGAATAGACTCCAATGACCAGGCCTAGCTATAAAGCCAGGGCTGATGCTATATCTGTAGGCCTCAATAATAAGAGGCCCACAGAGAAGGAATCCTGAACCCTCCTGGGAAAAAGCTCTTGTCCAGAGCAGGGAAACACAAGCTTGCAATTCAGGAAAGCAAACCCTGAATTTGCAAACCCATGCAACAGGAGGAACTACGGATCAGGGCACTGATATGGTAAGGCACAGGACATGTGTGTGTGTGTGTGTACCTACCTAAGTGTAATTACCTAAGTGTAGTTACAGGATGAGAGCTACGCTCGTGGTGTCCCGTCTTCCCAGCATTCTTTGTCATATAACGCTTTGAAACTACTGACGGTCTTGGCCTCCACCACCTTCTCACCTAACTTGTTCCAACCGTCTACCACTCTGTTTGCGAAAGTGAATTTTCTTATATTTCTTCGGCATCTGTGTTTAGCTAGTTTAAATCTATGACCTCTTGTTCTTAAAGTTCCAAGTCTCAGGAAATCTTCCCTATCAATTTTATCAATTCCTGTTACTATTTTGTATGTAGTGATCATATCACCTCTTTTTCTTGTCTTCTAGTTTTGGCATATTTAATGCCTCTAACCTCTCCTCGTAGCTCTTGCCCTTCAGTTCTGGGAGCCACTTAGTAGCATGTCTTTGCACCTTTTCCAGTTTGTTAATGTGCTTCTTAAGATATGACACCACACAACTGCTGCATATTCTAGCTTTGGCCTAACAAAAGTCGTGAACAATTTCTTCAGTATATCGCCATCCATGTATTTAAAAGCAATCTGAAGTTAGAAAGCGTGGCATAGGCTCCTCGCACAATGTGTGTGTGTGTAATTACCTAAGTGTAGTTACAGGATGAAAGCTATGCTCGTGGTGTCCCGTCTTCCCAGCACTCTTTGTCATATAACGCTTTGAAACTACTGACGGTCTTGGCCTCCACCACCTTCTCACCTAACTTGTTCCAATCGTCTACCACTCTGTTTGCGAAAGTGAATTTTCTTATATTTCTTCGGCATCTGTGTTTAGATAGTTTATATCTATGACATGCGTGTGTGTGTGAAGCATATAAGCACAATACAAGCATTGGCCCCATCTTGTGGCCAACCCTTTTTGTTATGTACACCAATTATATAAGTGAGAATATTACAAACCACATAAAATTTGCAGATGATGCTAGGATCTAAAGTAGGAACAAAGTACTTTTGTTCCTAAAGTAGGGCTGAAGATGATATTGAGGCCTTGCAAGGAGATCTACATGAACTTCACATTCAGAAGTGCACTACCATGCAGTACATTGTTGATGAAAGGGATCTTGGAGTCCCACTCCACCAGTCATTGAAAGTTGCACAACAATTGGGAGCTACAGGAAAAAAAAAGACTAACCAAACCCTAGGAATAGTCAAATTAATCTTTGACTTCAAGGAAGAGAAAGTGGTTATTCAACTGTACAAATTTCTGGTGCACCCCAGGGAGCTGGTCAGCCGAGCGGACAGCACGCTGGACTTGTGATCCTGTGGTCCCGGGTTCGATCCCGGGCGCCGGCGAGAAACAATGGGCAGAGTTTCTTTCACCCTATGCCCCTGTTACCTAGCAGTGAAATAGGTACCTGGGTGTTAGTCAGCTGTCATGGGTTGCTTCCTGGGGGTAGAGGCCTGGTCGAGGACCGGGCAGCGGGGACACTAAAGCCCCGAAATCATCTCAAGATAACCTCAAGATAACTCCCCTATTTGGACTACTGTATCCAAGCATGGAAACATCTTCAGAACGACATGTCTGCTTTGGAGAAAGGTAAACACAGAGCAATAAAAATCGTCCCGAATCAAAATCAACTCTTATACCAGGAACAGTTGAGGATCACAAGACTAACAACTCTGCCACCAGACATGACAGAGCTGATCTCATCGAAACTTTTAAAATACGGAACAAGTTGAATGATGATAATCCAAACCACTGGTATAAAAGGTCTGATTTGTTAACAAATTTACTCTGATGCTTCCAAAGGTAAGATTAGCGACTTTAGACAAGATTGTGAAAATCAGGCGCCAGATTCATAAAGCAGTTACGAACCTGTCCATCTTTTCTCAATCTTTGGCGACTTTGTTTACAATTATTAAACAGTTAATGAGCTCCGAAGCACCGGGAGGCTGTTTATAATAATACCAACAGTTGATTGGCAAGTTTTCATGCTTGTAAACTGATTAATAAATGTAACGACAGCTGTCAAAGATTGAGGAAAGATGTACACGTTCGTAAGTACTTGCGTAACTGCTTCGTGAATCTGGCCCCTGGGCAGCTCATGATGTATAATTTTTAGCCTTACAAAATGTTATTCCATTATCAAAATTATGTGACATGTCTTAGGGTTACTTATGATATTCTAATTAATCTTAATTAATACAAGTCAAATACACTTGAGAATACTGTACTGTATTTCAGGTAAAAACTTGTAATGAATGGCGTACTGTAATTGACAATGTTTTTACAGGTACTGGAGAAGGGTCCTACAAGTGTACAGAATCCAATACTAAATATCCTCCATTGTATGCTTCATTATATAGACATGAACACAGCAGCTGCTCAACTGGTTAATGGAGATTTGCTGAGGGTTATTGCTAAATATATTGAGGTAAGAAGAGCTATTCAATGTTTCCAAGGAGTAGTTTCAAGCTTATATTTCCCTGGTGAAATACAGTAAAGAAATAAATGTCGGAGTATTGTATTGTCAAATAAACTGAAGTGGATTTATGTACAATATAACATTATTTAGTGCACACTAGAGTGAAATGTAAAGTTACTGTATAAGTTTATAGAAACATGTGATTAAGTACTAAAATACATGTAATAGAAAACAAATTGTAGTACTGTATGTCTAAGGTTAAAGCTGTGTGTGAATTCCACTTCAGCATATTTTGACAGTTTTGGTACTTGTTCTGTAATTAAATCCCACACCAACCCCGAAACTCTCAAAGGCTTCGGGGTTGGAAGCAGGGAAGGGAGGGCTGAGGAATATAGGAAAGGCGAACCATTCCCAACAGGTTGGGAAGAGGTGGTGTGGACGAAGCTGGACCAAAGGCTAAATTAACCAACACCTCCAATGCCAAGTTCCTGAACACCAAGCTGGGTGTTAATTCACAAGCAGGCCAGGCTTGAGAAGTAGAAAAACTTCTAGAACCCCATGAAGCAGGTATCAAGTTTGGTAGCTCCAGGGCATTCAGCCTGGCACACAACCTAGTCTGTTGCAAGACAGAAAACCTATGACGATGAATGGTCACTGCATGTTAAGCCTTTACCTCATCAGGAAGGCTAGTAAGGATAGTAACATGATTGGAGCACTCACCATATGACTTAGGGTCAATGGTGTCACTGACCCAACAGGCAGCACGATGCAGATATAAGGAATGAACATTGCTACATGGCACTGATGTGCAACCCTCAAACTCGCACAGAATGAGAGTGGGTTTGGAGAGGGTATCCATGACTACTGAACCCACAGGGGATTACCAGGGCCTGCAGGGGACAATCCAACAAGACACCCAGGCACTGGAATGCTATGCAGCTACTTTCAGAAAGGTATGCCAACTCAGCCTAATTAAGGCGGCTGACAAGGCCAGCCTCGGTGCACTGAAGTGCATCACGCGTAAAACCAGTACACCCCACCAGCCAAGATGCTTTGGACCCAGGAAAGGTAGATGCTAAATACACCTGATTTACCCTAAGGTGAGGGCCATCACAAGCGAGGCGAACCTGTAAGGGAGTGTCTTCCAGACACTTCAGGGAAGATGGCCTTGTCAGCACAGGGGCATCATTAGAGAGTGCACAAGGAAGAGAACCCTGAGCATATGCAGCTCCAAGCACACTTAACTCCTGGCCCCATGTTACACGTGTGAAAGGAGTATCCTCAAAAGCAAACACCACAAAGCCGAAAAAATACCAGGGCTAGAGCAACGGAGAGGGTGACCCGGCACACATTACCATCAGAGGAGAACTGATAGTGGAGAGGCTGGCTGACTGCTGCCTGCCTCCCTCCTCTTCCCCTCTCCAAATGAGGATGAAGGTGGGCTGAATAAGCTGGCATTTGTTTCAAAAAATTTCAATTGTTTATTTATATTGTCAGGGAGTTCTATAGCTGGTTCTTGAGGCTGTAGTCACATTTAAAGCCAGCAGTGATTAGTTTTGTTTGGGTGCCTTCCTCAGGGGGGGCATAAATGAATAACTTTATATATAAATGCCACTGCTCCCTGTGCCTCTTGTGATGGGGCCAGGTTCTGGCTCTTGGTCCCCGGTTGGCCATAGAACTTTGTAACTGATGGGACCTAGTCATATGGCACACAATCGGAGATAGTAGCTTCAGAGAGCTTCATAAATTGACATTTCATTGCATTCAAAGCTGTTTTTTTGTTTAATATTTTTGTTCACATTAGAAGGATTGATCAGTATACTTGTGGCAATTGGCATGGAGCAAATTAGGAAAGGGTATTGAAATATTATTTGACTGGGTAAGGCATCATGGTTTATCAAAAGTATATTTTGTCTGACAGGGAATTTGTTCTTGTCCCAGAATAACCATAGTTTCTTGATTAAGCATTCTTATTGGAAATCTTTGGACAGATATTCATTAATAATCTCAAGCAAAAGGCAGTTCTAAATCAAAGATTTATGACAAACACTGTATATAGAGGAAGGCTTTAATGAACTGACACTATGTTACAGGGTTCACACTGGAAAGAAGCCCTTAGAATTTTAAAAATGGCTGTGACTCGTTCCTCATCACTTGTGGTGCCTCCAGCTTCATCCCATACACATTACTGGGACCACCATGTCTTTGCTGACATTGAATCACATTTCAAAAAGGAATTGCCAGGTAAGGAAAATGTTTAAACCAATTTAATATGTAATTCAACACTCAATTCAGTATTGAAGCATTTTCTTGTGGATTTGTATGTAAATGATATTTACAGTATGTATTTTATTTATGTTCTTAGGGACATATGCTATTATAGTGAGATATTATGTGTTCTAAGTGATATATTATGTTCTTATTGTGATGCAGTGTATTATGTTCTTATGGTGGTGCATTATGTTCTCATAGTGACATGTTCTTATAGTGACATATTATGTTGTTATATTGACATATTAGGTTCTTCTTGTGATATATTATGTTCTTAAAGCAACATATTATAATGTTCTTGTGATATGTTCTTATAGTGACATGTTATATTCTTATAGCAACATATTTGTATATGGTATCAATATATTATGTTGTTCTTGTGATATATTATGATCTTCTAATGCCATATTATATTCTTATAGTAACACATTATATTCTTTCAGCAACACATTATATTCTTATACCAACATATTATGTTCTTCTTGCAATATGTTATGATTTTATAGTGACGTTATTGTTTTTAATTAACAGGACGCACTATGGAATTTACTTTTGATGTCAATCAGACGCCTATAATTGGTCGTCGCTACTTGAAGGGCTCAGGAGTAATAGTTCTGCCTAGCCAGGCAAGTGCCGGCTCGTCCACCGTCAGCTCTGCCACTGGTGAAAGTCTGCACGATCAAGAGCAGGTTTGTGTTTGCATATTTCATTATTTACAAAAAATAATAATCGTAATGGTGATGATGACAACTGCCACATTCAAAAGTATTGAAATGCAGAAGAAAACTTAGGAAAATGTTTGTTTTTATACAGAGTCTCCCCAAAAATTTTAACTTTTTTTCTGGGGTGGGGGAGCCCCTACGGCTCGCCGAAGCTATCCAGGCTGATATGCTAATGTCAGACTTTGGCATCAGTCATGTGTATGGAGTTCTTTGGGCCTACTGGGGACTACGGCCAGAACCTGGCCCCCTCAGAGAGGCTAGGGAAGCAATAGCCTATAGAAGCCCCCATGTGGTTGGAAGCATTCTATGTCTGCCATCGACTGGGTCAAGCTCACCAGCTCAAATGTACTCACTAGAAATATTACCGGAACAACCATGGACATCTTCAAGAGAAAACTAGATTGTTTCTTCAAGGAATACTGGACCAACCAGGCTGTGATGGGTATGTGGGCCTGCGGGCCGCTCCAAGCAACAGCCTGGTGGACCAAACTCTCACAAGTCAAGCCTGGCCTCGGGCCAGGCTTGGGCAGTAGAACAACTCCCAGAACCCCATCAACCAGGTATATGTGGGCCTGCGGGCCGCTCCAAGCAACAGCCTGGTGGACCAAACTCTCACAAGTCAAGCTTGGCCTCGGGCCGTGCTTGGGGAGTAAAAGAACTCCCAGAACCCCATTAAGCAGGTATCAAGCAGGCACCCAGAAAGGTAAGCATCCCAAAACAAACCCCCTATTCTGGTGAAAATATTGCTACCAAAAGCTGAACAAGTGGATAGAACTCCCCCAAACAAAATCGAGCGAACTAGTGTGACATCACCTATTGCCACGTCGCCGTTTGCACCTCCTGGGGAGGGGGGAGCCCCAGATCCACCGTGCCGGCGATCCACACCCCAGTTCTTGAGGCTGATGCTATAGACAGCGGTTGTGTGCTCTGGCTCCAGACTTTTAAGGCGCGGTGTCTTGTGTGTGGGTGCTGTAATCTAGGGGCGCGAGAGCCAGGAGTTATTCTTCAGTACTCGGGCTGCATGCGCCTAGGGTTCCCTTCCCTAGGTGCCCTGTAAGTACTGCCCTTGGAGCTTGGGGTTACCTTCCACAGGTTCCTTGGAACCTGCCTCTGTGGGTCCGTTTAACTGCTCGGTTTTTCGGCCGCCCTTTGGGTACTTGGGTGTTTTGTCTCCCTAGTTTACCTTAGGGTAGGAGGCAGTTTTGCACCGGTAGGGGTGCAGGGTGCTGTGCAGCTTGTTGTCACCTATCACAGCAGCCGGCTCTGTTCCTTGGGGTACGTTGTCCTCTTGGGGGGGGGGGGTTTGTTTTTGTTATTGTTTTTGCCTTGGTAGGGGGTTCTGCCCTACTTGCCACTGGTGTTTGGCCTCATCCTGATACTTGGTGGTGCCCCCTGCTTGGTCCCCATGAGTGTACACTTCCCTGGGATTCAGCTGTAGACAGTTTGTTAGTAGTTTTGGGCGCCAGTTAGCAGTACTCTGCCTGGGTTTACCTGAGTGCGAGTCCTCTTATAGTAAACACTCAGGACCCTGGGAATCCCCTAGGGGACGTGTGGGTCCGATGCATGTGACCCCGGAGTCCTCCCCTTGCTTCATGCGAGTTTGAGGGTTGTTCGGTTCCCTGGTCTCAGGGCAACCCTCGCAGTTTTTGCCTCCATCACGCTGCCTGTTGGATCGGTGACACTTTCGACCCCGAGTCCTGTGAGTTTTGCTGCTTGATGATGACTCAATATACCCAATCTGCCGATCTTCTTCAGGTACAGGCTGCTCAGGCGTTGCATTATAGGTTTCGTTTGTTGCAACGCGTTCGGTTGGCTGCTCTCCTGGATGCCCCACGGCTGCCCCGTTTTACTTACAGGGACCTGGACATGGGGGTGGGGGTCGCCTTGACCTTGGTTCAGTCTGCACCACCTCGTCCTTCCCCTCCTGTTGTTCGTTCTGGACCCCCCCCTTCCCCGCTTCCGGCCCTGAAATGTCTGAGGGTTTCGGAGTCGGAGCAGGGGTTAATTGGTCTTGAGACTCGGGCAGCCGCGGGGATGCCCCTTCCGGTTTGGCGACGGAGGCATTCGAGTCTACTACCCCGGCCGAAGCCTCTGGGTCTGACCAGTGAGCCCCCTTCTATACGGCTTCTACGGCTGCACCAGCCTTGTCTGGTGGGGTCAGTGCTTTGGGGTAGGACTCGGCCCTTGGGGCTGGGGAGGAGATGACTTGGGGGACTTGGGCCCCGCTGAACCCTACCTGGGTTTTTCTGCCCTCTGAGCGGGGTTTACTGTTACAAGGAGTGGGGTTTTCTTTTCCCCCCTCTGCGTACGAGTTGGACTTGGTGTCTGCCACTCCCATGGTTTGGTTCCGTGTTCCCCCGGGTGCTTCGGTTCCGTCTTTCCGGAGGTTTTCGGCTTATCGCATCCAGCCTGCTGCGCTGCGGGCAGCCCTTGCGGCAAACCTCCTGCGTGACTCGGATTATGCTTTGGCAATGGATCCGTCGGCTTTCGGGTTTGGGACTTCGTTCCCTTTCTGGCTCCGTTACGAGGTTCCGGAGTTGTCCTGGCTGGCGGACTGTCCTCTCTTTACCTTGGAGGCGTGGCACTCCTTCTGCTGTTCCTGCACACTTGAGTGGCAGGAGGCTTCTACGGTGCTTCAGGTTTTCCTGGGGGACGACCTAGAGCACCTCAATGAGTGCTTGTTTGCTCCTGCCCTTTCCCGAGATGTTTGTGTCGTCCAGCTCCATGTGCAGGTTCCCTCCCTTTCAGCGGCGCTGGTGGTTGAGGACTTGCACGCCCGGGGCCTTTTGGCTTCGGCCTTGTGTTTCTTTTCCCTCCTTGAGCTGTCTTTGGACTGACTCATGGAGGATGTAGGGGCGCTTGGGGCCGTTCCTGGTTCTGGCACCTTGGCCTCTGCGGCTCGCTCGTCAGCTGCCTTGCTGAAGTTTTTCACGCCGATCTTGCGGGATGCAGTGGTGCTGTTTTATGCTTCCTGGCTCGCATGTCGGAAGGGAGTGCTTGCCTCTAATGTGGAATCCGCTTGGGCCTTGGCTCTTAGGATGTCTTCCCCTTTTTGTCCTCTCCTGTTTGAGGCTTCAGCCATTGCACAGTATATTCAGGCTGCTTCGGCTTCTTGCCATCCTATGTCGGACTTGTTGGTTCTCTGGGGGTCCCGTGGTGGGCCTTCCCGGAAGAGTCATGCCAAGGCTCGGGGTTCCTTGCGTTGTGGTAGGCCACTGGTGTCAAGTTCGGGTTCGGCTCCTCCTTCGGACCCGCCTTCGTCTGATAGGTGCGGTGTTCACTCTGTGCACGGTTCTGGGTATCATAAGGGGCGCCGGCCCTTTCGCGGTTTACCCCATTGACGTGGCGATGGGGGTGTGAGCAGTGATCGCTGGGTTCGGACCCCGGGGACCTTGCGTCAGTTGCTGCGTTGCCAACTTCCTCTTCGGGTTTTTCGGGGTTCAGTGTCTTGGCGCCCAGGCTTGCGCTGTTCGCTCACATCTGGTCCCCCGATTCGTGGGCATTTTGGGTCGTTTTGCACGGCCTCTGGTGGCATTGGGTGGGTCCCCCCCCTGGGTGGGTCCCCCCCCCTTCAGGGGGCTCGAGGCTGGCGGGGCAGGCCTCTTTCCCTGTGCTCTGTCAGGTCATCTTGGAGTGGGTTCACTTGGGCGTGGTCGAAACGACGACGTCCCTCAGATGGGTTTCCCCCTCTGTTTCCGGTCCCGAAACGAGACTGTGCGAACCTGCGGTTCAATCTGGACTTGTCCCGTCTGAACCCCTGGGTTCATTGCCTCTCCTTTCGGATGCCTACGCTGTCCCAGGTTCGGCTCCTGTTGGAGCCAGGTGCTTGGATGGTGTCCCAGGACCTCCGGGATGCTTATTGGCATGTCCCGATTCATCTGTGGTTCAGGGACTGGCTCGGTTTTGTTGTGGGGCGTCAAGGTTACCACTTTCGTTGTCTCCCGTTCGGGTTGAACCTGGCACCTTGCGTGTTCACGAGCTTTACACGGGTCGTGGTGGCCCGTCTGTATCTGTGTCCGTCTGCGTCTGTGTTAGGTGTTCGGGTGTTGGCCTACCTCGACTACTGGCTGGTTTGGGCTCCCAGTCGGTCCTCTTGTCTGCTAGCCAGGGATTTGGTTCTTTCTCAGCTCACCGGGTTCGGGTACTTGGTGAACTGGAGGAAGTCCCATCTGATTCCCTCCCAGGTTCGGACATGACTGGGCCTTGTGTGGGACTCTCAGACCGCTTCCTTGTCTCTTCTTCCGAAGTCTCTCATGCGGCTGCAGTCCTGCATGCGCCTGTGTCTGGGGGCTCCCGGGTCATCCGGTGGTTGCTCAAGGGTCTGTGGGGAGCCTGAACTTCGCGATGCTGGTCTACCCGCTGGGTCAGGTTTGGCCTTGTCGGCTGTTCTGGTTACTTCGGGAACGTCCCTTCTGTCTCTCTCGCGATCACTGGGTTCGGACCCCAGGGGCCTTGCATCGGTTGCTGCAACGCTGGCTTCCTTTTCGAGTTTTTCGGGGTTCAGTGCCTTGGCACCTACCCGAGCCCTCGCTCGATGTGTTCATGGACGTGTCGTCTCTCGGCTGGGGGTTTGTGACCAGTGCTCACCAGGCCAGCCAGGGATGGTGGGGTTCGTCTTTCCGTCGAGCGCACTGCATGGTGCGGGAATTCGCGGCAGTGTGGTTTGCTCTTAGGGGGCTTTGGGTCGCCCGCGGCTCGACGTTCTGGCTCCACTCGGACAGATCCTCCAGTAGTTCATTGTCTGAATTGGGGGGTGGGGGGTTGATTCGGTCCTTGGCTCTTTGGCGTTGTTCGCTTCGGGTGACTCGTCTGCTGAGTTCTCAGGGTTTGGCTCTCCTGGTACTTCACGTGCAGGCAGTGTCCAACGTCTTGGCCGACGGCCTGTCTCGTTTCATTCCCCTCTCCACGGAATGGTCGACTCCAACTCTTTTCGTTGGCTTTGCCAGATGTTCGGACGCCCCGAGGTGATCCTCTTCTTGTCAACTTGGTCGTGGCGCCTTCCCCCACTATGTGGCCCCCTTCCCTTCCCAGATGCCTGTGGCCACCCTACCGGGCATCTTCAGAATCTGTTTGTTGAGTAAGTGCAGCACGCTTTCGAATAGGATGCTGTGGACGTGCCTCGCTCTCCTCCTCAGAAACCTCACTCTCCTCACTCGTAGAAACAGCATCATTCATCTGCTGTCTCTGTATCAAAATTGTCACTGTTGAAATCACTGTACCATTCTTCCCCCCTCAACATCTGACTCAATATCGGAGAATGCTTCAACCAAACCTGGGATCTTTGTTGGTGTAAACCTCAGGCGGCTGAATTTCTTGTAAAGCATAGTTATCTTATCCTGTTTGGTTGATTTCTTCACTCTTTTCGGCGTCGAACTGCTCTGCCCTTGACCATGATCCATCGTGTAGTGTATATAATGTGTTGAAAAGACACAGGAAGAAATATAACTGCTGATAATAGCCAAAATTTGCACAAGTTTGGGACACAAGCGGATGGCGTGGTAGTCACAAGCATGGTCAACAACACATTAGGCCCACCACATGGGCCGACGACCCAAGATGCCATGCGGCATATGGAGGAAAGCGGGAAGACAATGGCGCTCATTTTGAAACCACCCAGAAGTTAATCGGATAAAAATTAAATTTTTAAAAAATATTTTAATACATGATGCGAGGAATAGTCACTCGCTGAGAATCGGGAGAAAAATGAGTGACTCCGGGGAGGAGGCACTGTAGAGTGAAAGTGTTAAGTTTGCCAACTTTTTGCTTAGAAAGTCCAAAAAATTTATAAAATTAAATTTATTTGCGTTCTGGTATGTCAGAATTCTCGGTAATTTAAATTTTTATTCGAGTTGAGCTGCCAAACTCGAACTCACTATTTAGATTTCTAAATTTTTAGAATTATTAGTAACTTTTAAGTTTTATTCAAGTTGAGCAGCTAAAACTTAATTAAATTTATTCAGATTCCCCAAAAATTCAAGTTTCCGAAATTTAGATTACTGAGCTCGTACAATATTTACTCCACAGTAACGGTGGTTTGCCTTGTTTACACAAGGTACTAATTTACTTCTCAGCAGCAGTTTTGTTTTCTTGTGCCTAACTTTTCTGATTGGGTTCCCTGAGTTTTGTGTAGATGTCTTGATTCCCCCAAGCTTTCCTCATCACCTAGAGAGAACCAGATTCTGGTTCTTGCAACTGGTGCAGGCTGTCCTCCTAAGGTTTCCCAACATCAAGAAAGCTGTCAATTTTAAAGTGTCCTCTCCTAACCTACCAGAGGACCCAAAACGAAAAACGGGACAGTACGTCACTTTCGTGAGCTGCTTCCATTTTCTAGTACAGCCTTTGGCTTTATGTAATGCAGATGATAGAAATGCGATGTTCTTTGTAGGAGGACAGGTTAACTGGTGAGCAAGGGGTGGGTCTCGAAGGCCTAGTTCAAAGACTTGGCCGTACTAACGTTGGAACTCGGGACCAGCGTTCTTATTTCTCCTCTGTAATTTCTGAGGAGTCTTCCCAGAAATTATTTGTATTGTATAACAAAGTCCTTCCATTATTTGGGAGGTTTGTGGAAGTTAATATATAGGATGTATGTTTCATCACTATTGAAAAGATTTAATTTTTTAAAGACCTAAATTTGTATCAGCATTGTTGTCCTTATTTTATGATTTAAATGTTATTCACTATTTTAATAATTTTCTTACAAATGGATGAGAAAATATAACTTTTTCTAGTAGGGGTTGAATATTATATAGTAATTTGACAAAATGTTTATCTTTTAATATCTTGATAGGACCGAGAGAGCAACGAGGTAAATGGTTCAATAGGAATTGATGGAGCAGAGACAGCCTCTCCTCGCAGGAGCCTTTCACTCTCTGCTGCGGACACCAGTCATCTCGCTGGCTGGAAACGGCCTTGGTTGTCACAGGTTTGACTTCTCATCTCGCACTGTAGTAGTTTCTTATATGTTCTAGTGTTTAAGTCTTTGACAACTACAGTTAATACGGAAATATTGAACTATGAGCCATATGGTATCCTGTATATGAATATAAATTTTGATTATGTTATATCTTCACTTATTAATTTTGTATTCTTAATTTAAGACTTGTTCTTTCATTGTGCTTACTAATAATATGTGATATGGTTGTGTATTATCCAATTATAGATATGTGATTTGTGCACCTAAATAACAATATTAATATTAGTTATAATAATAATAATAATAATAATAATAATAATAATAATAATAATAATAATAATAATAATAAAAATAATTTAGACAAAAGTACATACAAACATGTGGCCTCACGATCTAGTCTTCTCCAGCCTTTTCTCCTCTCTTAACATTCTATCTCCTTAAGTCAATTTCAGAGTTGAATGGAATCTAATTCCCTCCTTTCTTTTCTTGACATTCATGTTCACAGCTCTGTGTCTAGTTGATCTTTCTCTGATAACTGCAAGCAGATGCACAGGGGTACATTCACTTTTCCTGCCATTTCCCTTCTGTTAAGAAAAGTGCTCTCATCTCTCCCTTCCTCCAGACCCTACGCATCAGTGACCCGCAGTTTCTTGATTCTGAAATTTCTTTTATTTGCATGTCTTTTTCTCACCTTGGTTACCCCTTACATTTTATCAACTGTTCCTATTCTCAAGCTAAAATTAATTTACCTTGCCTTGCCTCACCTTGCATGTCACTTTCTTGCCTTATTTATTTGTCTCTTCCACTCTGTTTCTACTACACAACTTGATAATGGTCCAGGATGGACTGAAACGTCGTTGTTTCTTCATTTTCTTTTGTGTGGTTTGGTCACCACATACATAGGATACAAGAAGATTGTAGGATACATATCAAGTTGAAACTGAAAAAACAAGAATTGGGAGGAAGCCAATGTGAGGGAAGATATTAGGTGAGGTGAGAGCAGGTTGAGGTAGTGTGTATGAGGTGTATCCTCATACAAATAATGATAGTAATATGTTTTTGGGCCAAGGGTCAGTCATGTGACTCATTAATGCACCATCAGAACACTCGAGTTAAGCTCCCAGATGATGTGTGTGATGAATCGTAGGAGCACTGAAGATTTATTTAGAAAAGTCTTTAATGAGTTTAGTTGGACAGACTTGTTGCTAGTCAAAGAAGTAAATGAAATTGTATGCCAAATTTTGCAAAATATACGATGAAGGCACACAAACATTCACACCAAAACAGATATGCAAGACCAGAAAACAGGACTGGTTTAACAGAAATTGAGAGAGGGCCAGGGAAGAAAAATGAGAAAATGGGTTCAATATTGGAAAAGGCCTAACTCGCAAACATACCAGCAATACAAGCAAGTAAGAAACAATCACACAGCAGTGAGGAGAGAGGCAGAAAGAAACTATGAGAAAGGTATAGCAGACTAATGTAAAACAGATCCAGGCCTTTCTTTAAATTTATTAAAAGCAAGTAAAAGCAAGCTGCATGTAAAGGATAAAATCCAGAAATTGAGAACGGGGAACAGGACTTCTCATAATGAAAAGAAAATGTGTGAAATGCTAAATGAACAGTTCCAAAGTGTGTTTGTACAAAATAAGGATTTCAGAGATCTGGACCCAATACCAATTCCAGAGCACACCATAAAATACATAGAGGTATCTCAAGACAAAGTGGAAAAATTACTAAAGAGACTAGGAAGAAATAAAGAGGTCGGACCTGATGGAGTTTCACCTTGGGTGCTGTGAGAATGTGCAACTGAGATGATGAGCATTCCACTCCAATTAATATTCCAGACATCCTTGTGCACAGGAATCTTAGCAGATATATGGAGAAAGGCAAACATAGTACCAATCTGTTAAAATGGTATTCAAGAGGAACCTCTAAATTATAGACCCTTATCATTAACAAGCATGGTAGTGACTTAATAATGGACAGACAGTATGGTTTTCGAACAGGAAAAGCCTGTGAAATAAATCTACTTAGTTTTTATGATAGAGCCACAGAGATATTACAGGAAAGAGGTGGTTGGGTTGACTGTGTCTACCTGGACCTAAGAAAAAGGCTTTTGATAGAGTCCCACACAAGAGTGTTCTTGAAACTGGAACATGCTTGAGGGGTGACAGGAAGACTTCTGACATGGATGAAAGGGCAGTAATCAGAGACAATGTATCTGACTGGAGAAGTGTTACTCGCAGAGTACCACAGGGTTCAGTTCTTGCACCAGTACTGTTCATCATCTACATAAACGATCTACCAAAAGGAATACAGAATTATATGAACATGATTGCGGATGATGCTAAGATATTGGGGAAGATAGGAGATGCAGACGATTGTTATGCCCTTCAAAATTGATCTAGATAAAATAAGTGTTTGAAGCATCAAATGGCAAATGGAATTCAGTGTGAATAAATGACATGTTATGGAATGTAGAATTGAAGAAAACTGACCACACACAACTTGCAAATTCAGAACTCTAATAAAGAAAGAGATCAAGGGATGGTTTTGGATAGTAAGCTGTCACCAGTTGAACACAAAAAGAACATTGTGAGAGGGATGCATGCATCGCTTTCCAACTTCAGACTTCCTTTTAATTACATGGGTGGTGAAATACTAAAGAAACTGTTCATGACTTTTGTGAGAACAAAATTGGAATATGAAGCAGTTGTATGGTTCCCAGATCTCAAGAAGCACAAAAATAAACAGGAAAAGGTGTAACGGCATGCTACAAAATGGCTTTTGGAACTGAAAAACAAGAGTTAAGAGGAGAGACTAAAGACTAAATAGGTGATATGATCACCACTTATAAAAATACTAACAGGAGTAGACCAAATTTACAAAGGAATTCCTGAAACCAGTAACTTCATGTACAAGAGGACACAGATTCCAGCTAAGGAAACAAAGGTGCTGAAGAAACATTAGGAAGTTTTCTTTTGCAAACAGTGTGGTAGACGGTTGGAACAAGTTAAGTGAGAAGGTGGTGGAGACCAAAACCATAATTACAGTAGTTTTAAAGCGTTATTCAACAAAACGAACTGGAAAGACGGGACACCACGAGCATAGCTCTCATCCTGTAACTACACTTAGGTAATTACACTTAGGTAATCACGCATTTCAACATTTTAAACACATTGAATTTGTTGTTTCAGGCCCGTGCTCGGGAGTGTTTGGTAAACCTACTCAACACATGTGGTCAAAGAGTTGGACTGCCAAAGTCTCCTTCGGTATGTATTCCTACTTCAAGGGACATTGAATTCGAGGAACTTAATTTCACCTACAAACAAATAGTTGTCATTATTAGCAGCAATGTTTTAAAAAGGCATTTAGGTCTTGCCTTGAAGAAACTGCATTTCGTGTTAGAATTTCAGTGTTAGATAATAAGTTTCTTAGAAAATAACTGGTATATTATAAGTAATTTCTTAGAGTTAAAGAAAACTCTATGCTTAAATTGCAAAATTGACATCGTGATATATTATTTGCTCATAATTTCAGTCTTTTTACAAGACACGGCTAAAATCTTGTAGGATATTTTCCTTAGACTCCTTTACCTTGAGTGAAGGAAATATATAATTAGTTTGTATTCTTGAGATTATAAAATTAATGTACTGAATGTCACTGTAACTTGCATTGTCTTCTAAAACTGATTCAAAGTATTTTTTGCTTGTGTATATTTTTATGTAAAAACTAAATTATTGCATACTTTATATAGGTATAATTATATGTATAATTATATGTATAAATGTATAATTATATTATATGCAAAACAATGAAAGGATTCAGTAATTATTAGCAATAATTACATTTGTTGTATAATGTTCATGGTGCTAGTCTAATATTTACAAAAACAGCAACAAAAGATCCTCTGGTGACTGGGAAAGTAACTGGTGCAAAGATTTTTCATTTCAACTTGTCTTCTTCTACCACTCATGGGCCAGATTCACGAAGCAGTTACGCAAGTACTTACAAACGTGTACATCTTTCCTCAGTCTTTGATGGCTTTTGTTACATTTATTAAACAGTTTACAAGCATGGAAACTTCCCAATCAACGGTTGCTATTGCTATAAATAGCCTCCTGGTCTTCGGAGCTCATTAACTGCTTAATAATTGTAAACAAAGCCGCCAAAGATTAAGAAAAGATGTACACACGTCTGTAAGTGCTTGTGTAACTTCTTCATGAATCTGGCCCCAGGTTATTAAAGATAAACCAACTCCTCCCACCAATTAAATAATTTTTTTGCCCTGTGAAGCTATTTATAAACATGTTTTAATCACACTTACTTACAGTGTCCACCAAGTGCAGGAAATGTTTGTTACTTCACATTTATAACGTAAGGCTCGTGAATGTATATATAAGCAAGCTGCTGGTCTGTAAAATATTATGTTCTAGCTTATCCTCCTAATATAAGACCTGTTTTCAGTTTGAATGCTAGGGTTCATATATGGCCTTATTTCATCTTCGCTTTCGGTAAACTTTGTGTTGCTGTAGAACGGCCGATCTCTACTTGTTGTGGTTGTACCGCATTGCACATATGGATAGGTGTCCTGTTTATATTGCTGCTTATGTCCAGATAATTAGTCATTTAGGTATTGTTAAATATTAGCCTTTGGGGAGCTTTCTGTCTGTTATTGCCCTTCTTCAGTCAGAAATGTTCATATTAATGATTGTAAAATCTTCTTTTGGAAATAGTTACTGCCCATGACTTTTTCAGATATTTTATCATTTTAGGCTTCAGTTACTTTTCTAGAGTAGCCCCTTGGTAGCTCCTTGAAGCTATCTCGCTCCATGTTTTTATTTATTTATTTATTTATATATACAAGAGTTCTTACATTCTTGTAAAGCCACTAGCACGCATAGCGTTTCAGGCAAGTCCTTAATCCTAATTTTCCTCGAATACGACCTGCCAAATTGTTTAACAACCAGGTACCCATTCACTGCTGGATGAACAGAGGCTACAGTTAAGGATTAGCAGCCAGTCAATCCTCCCCAACCAGGATATGAACCCAGGCCAAAGCGCTAGCGAAGAGCCGGGGAAAAGTTTTATCACTGCGCCACGGGGACTGTGTCTGCAAAAGCTAATGGGTCACAACAGCTGTGACAGTTCTGTTTGGCCTACCATGAATCAGCAGCAGAACCTGGCCCCTTTACAGATGCACAGGGAGCAAGTGACAATCTGCCACCCCACCAGGGAAAAGCATTCAGGAAGTCAGCGAAGCTTTCAGACAACTTGATGGTTCATAGAAAAGGAAGCCTCGAAATTGCCAAAAATTTTGCAAACAATTCACACGGAAAAAGTCACTCAAAACTAGATTGCATTTGTTAGTACCGATAGCTGCCACCAGGTAGTGCAGTCCTAGTGCAGTTAAAAGCTCTGTACCTCAGGGTACAGTACTTGCACCACTGCTTTTCCTTATTTTCATATCAGATATAAACAAAAAATACAAGTCACAGCTTCATATCATTCTCTGCAGATGACAAAAGTCAGCATGAAAATTACCTCTGCTGAAGACATTGAAAACTATAAGCAGATATTAATCAAGTTTTCGACTGGGCAGAAGAAAATAACATGTTTACCAGCGATAAATTCCAGGTACTCAGGTATGGTAAAAATGAGGACATTAAACATACCTGTAATACAGGGTACAAAACATAATCAGACTTGCCCATAGTAGGAAAGCAGCATGTCAAGGATTTGGGCATAATGATGTTTGATGACCTATTGTTTAGGGAGCATAACCAAGTAAATATTGCATCAGCCAGAAAAATGATAGGATGGATTACGAGAGCTTTCAAATCCAGGAATACCATCACAATGGTTGTACTATTCAAATCACTTGTGCTGTCCCTTCTTCAGTACTGCTCAGTACTCATTTTCCCCTTCAGAGCAGTAGAGATTGCTGAAATATAGGAAGTTCAGAGAACATATATGGCATACATAGAAGCGATACAGCACCTGAATTATTGGAATCGTCTCAAAGCTCTTCAAATGTACTCGCTAGAAAAGAGAAGAAAGAAATATTAAATAATATACATGTGGGAAAATACTGGAGGGCCAGGTCCCAAGTCTACGCAGTAAAATAACAACTTACTGGAGTGAATGATAGAGAAAGAACTGCAAAATAGAGCCAGTGAAGAGCAGGGGGTGCCATAGGCACAATCAGAGAAGACTGTATAAACATCAGAGGTCCGCGGTTGTTCAACATCCTCCAAGCGAGTATAAGAAATATTGCCAGAACAACCGTGGACATCTTCAAGAGAAGACTAGATAGTTTTCTTCAAGCAATGCCGAACTAACTGGGCTGTGGTAGATATGTGGGCCTGAGGGCCATTCCATGCAACAGCCTGTTGGACCAAGCTCTCACATGTCAAGCCTGGGCTCAACTTTGAGGGGGTCCCGGGTCACTCAGCGGTGTCTCGAGTAGGTGCACGGGAACCTGAAATTTGCTCTGCCGGTTTATCCGCTGGGCAGGGTTTGTCTTCGTAGACTGTTCTGGTATCTTCGGAGCAGCCTCTTTTGCAGCTCTTGCAGTCACTGGGTTCAACCCCCCAGTGTCCCTGGGCCGGTTGCTGCATCACTAACTTCCTCTTTGGGGTTTTTCGAGGTTCGGTGCCATGACCCCTTCCATCTCCCTAACTCGGTGTGTTCACAGACACCTCATCTGTCGGTTGGAGCTTTGTGATCAGTGCTCACCACTCTGGCCAGGGGCATTGGCGGCAGTTTGTACGTCGGGCTCACAGCACGGTGCGGGAGTTTGCGGCAGTGTGGCTAGTGCTGTGGGGGATTCAGGTTCCTCAGAGCTCGGTGGTCCGGCTCCATTTGGACTGCTCCCCTGTCGTTCATTGTCTCAACCAGGGGGGAAGGGGGATCTCTTTGGTCCGTGGCTCTTTGGGGCTAGTTGCTTCGGATAGATATTTTGCTGAGTTCTCAGGATTTAGCTCTCCGGGCTGTTCATGTTCAGAGTGTGTCCAATGTCCTGGCAGATGGCCTGTACAATAATGCTTTATTCCTCTTTCCACAGAGTGAACTGTCAATGCCGCTTCCTTCCTTCCTTTGGCATTGCCAGATGTTAGGGCGTTCGGAGGTTGCCCTCTTCGCATCAGTGTGGTCTCGGCGTGTCCCATTGAACATGGCACCGTTCCCTGACTACGAGTCTCTCGTCATAGTGGGGTGTTCCTGTATCTTTTTACCCTAGTGCTCCAGGTTCTTGCTCGGATGGAAACCTTTTGTGGGAGAGTTCTTCTCTTGGCTTTGTGGTGGCCAGTCCAGCCTTGGTTTCAGGCACTGCTTGCCCAGTGTCTGAACCCGGGTGTTTTTCCGCGGCTTTTCTTCTTTCAGCAAATCGGTTGAGTGAGATACCCCACTGGTTTGACTTACTCCTCCGCTTTGTGTCCAGCATTTCTGATGCGTGTGTGTATCACCATTTATATGGTGATCAAATGGTTTCTGTGATGGTGTCCCACCTGCGATCTTCATCTCGGCAAAGTTTGAAGTCTCTGGCGTTTTTTCCACCATTTTCTTTCTCTTTGTTGAATTTCATCGGTGTCAGACCGAGTTGTTTTGTCCTTTCTCTTGTAACTTTTTTTTGTATCGGCAACTCGTGCTGAATACTGTCTCTTCTTATCATGCGGCGTTGGTGAAACTGCTGCAGCTTGCGTTCGGGGTTGATGTCACTTCTACTCCATTTTGCAAGCTTTCTCATGCATTCTTTCATCTCCAGCCTGCTCATGTGCTCGCTTCAGCCGTCTTGGTCATTGGACAGGGTTCTTTCTTTCTTCTCTTTCTTTTTTTTCTTTTTTTTTGAGATATATACAAGAGTTGTTACATTCTTGTACAGCCACTAGTACGCGTAGCGTTTCGGGCAGGTCCCTGGAATACGATCCCCGCCGCGAAGAATCGTTGTTACAACCAAGTACACATTTTACTGTTGCGTTAAACAGAGGCTACAGTTAAGGAATTGCACCCAGTAAATCCTCCCCGGCCAGGATACGAACCCATGACATAGCGCTCGCGGAACGCCAGGCGAGTGTCTTACCACTACACCACGGAGACTGTAAACTCTTCGACTGTTACTCTTACAGTAAGAGACTGTAAACTAGACTCTTCTCGTTTTGTGGTCGCTCCATCAGTTTGGGATTGTTTTTTAAAATCGTTGTTTCTGTGGGGAGCCCCTACGGCTCCCTGGAGCTTATTGGGCTAATGCATGTTATATTAGACCGGGACATTA